AGAGAACATAATAAACAAAAATAAAAATTTAATACAACCAAATTACAAAAAGTTGTAAGCTTCAACTTCCACCATAACCAAAACAAAAACAAATTTAATACCAAGTTTACATCTCAAATTAGGATTGTAAGAAATGGGTAACTCAGTAAGCCGCTAAAATAAGTTATTAATATATATATATATATATATATATATATATATATATATATATATATAAAATATAGTTATATGCTTAGCAGGGTGGGGCGGGGCAGGGCCCCTAAGATATGTGTACTAAACCCTTACCCGCCCCGTCACCCGCAACGGGTACAAAATTTGTATTCATACCCGCCCCAATGGTATAAAAAGTGTTCCCATATCCGTTATTAATGGGGCGGGACGGGGCGGAGTCCCGGCGGGGCGGTAAAAATTGACATCCCTACTAAATATTATATTTATATTTTAAAAACTAAACTACTTTTAGCTCAAAATATAAAATTCACCCCAATTAGATAAGAGCTAAACTCATTCTAATAAGAGCTATTATTCAGATGGAAAAAATCTTCTCAAGTTACTCATTTATTGGATTGGTTTAGTGAGGGGTAAAAAAACTGACTTACGGAGTTAAATATATATTTACTAAATTTCTAATATACATACAACTTCCGTATACAACATATCTTATTATTTAATTAATTGACTTTCACTTCGTGGTGACAGTTGATTAAAATTTGAACATTCCAAAGAACAAATGAAAACCCTAAAAAAGAATAAAAACCCAGAACAGAAGAAGAACTTCATGAATACGATGCAAATACATATAGAATTATATATATATATATATATATATATATATATATATATATTATATTTACTAATTTTGCTTGCCTCGGCAAGCGTTTTAGGCAAACTTTAGTAACATCGTTGCCTTGATTTCCTTGACACACACAAACATAAATTATATATAATCAACTGTGACCATGAAGTGAAAGAAAAAGAAAAAAAAAAAAGGAAAAACGAAAAAAGAAAAAGAAAAAGGAAGAACATGATTATGGGAGAAAAAAAAAAAAAAAAAACCCTTAGCCACTTTTTTTTTGTTCAATCATTCTCTTTAAAATTTAAGAATTAATGTTATTCAATTCGACTTAATTTCATGAAGTTTTAATAATCAAGTGATTTGACTAACCCTAATAACCTATAATTATATGATTTGTTCTTCTTTTTAATTTTATTTTAGTAACATGTTCTGCATACATATTTTAATTTTTGCTGAATTGTTTTAAAGCAAGGTTATTTTTTTATTTATTTTTTTTATTTTAATTTCAGTCAAAAGATAAAGTTAAATTGTATAATAATGTACTCGGTATAATATATTATATAGAATATAATGTATAGAGTGGTATTTGTACGTATGATAAAATAAAAGTAAATTTCTTTCTTGCCTTATTGATTTAGTGTTGACTTAGTGATTACAAAGCTATATTGGAGAAGTGTCGTTAATCACCACGTTAGAGCATCTCCAATATATATATATATATATATTTGTGTAAATCTAATATGTCATGATAGATTTACACAAAAATTTTGAATTATTTATTTTTAGCTCCAACAGTTATTTTATATATTTTGTGTAAAAATATATTTTCTAACAACAACCAACCACGACCCCGCATAACTTTCACAAACCTACTTAATATAGTGTTGATTCATTAATGGAATAAGAAAGAGAGAAGAGAAAGGAAATATGCTACAACAATTTTACACATTGGACTCGACAATGTATTTTAAAAGACTGCTAGATATAAAAAAATTACACATCATATGGCAGTGTATATTTTATACAAAAATGTGTTTTAACATAATGCTGAAGAGGAAATGTTCTTCAATAATAACCAACCACGATCCCACATAACTTTCACAAACCTACTTAATATAGTGTTGATTTGTTAATGCAATGAGAAAAATGGAAGAGAAAGGAAATATGTTGTTATGGCAGTGTAAAATATACAACAATTTTACACATTAATGACTTGACAATATATTTTAACGAATTGTTGGAGACAAAAAAAACTACGCATCATATATGACTGTGTATATTTTACATAAAAATGTATTTTAACTTGAGAGTATTTTTTTTTCTAATCACAAAGGTAATCACGTTTTGACAATTCAAATCGAATTATAAATAAAAGGTCAAAGTTTTGGCTTTCGTAATAACCAGTTTGTCAGCTGACATTTAGTTGGCCCAACTCAACTAGTTCAATGGGGCCCAACAAAGGGTAAAAAAATATTTCTTTTACAACGTAATTTAATAGCCTACGTAACAAAGTGTTCATTACATGTAGCAAGGGACAAATTTATTTCCATTCCTAGACACAGGGAAAATCCAATTCATTTTATTAATACTTGTAGTTTTAGAGTATCAGCAATTAATGAATGATGATTGTAAGAAGTAAGGATTTTAATTCAACATCTAATATCTTAATAAAAATTTGGCAAATTATGCATTTTAATATTTTTATGAGTAATGATATAGTCCTAATTCGGGTAATGTTGATTGATATATAATATATAGTATCAGAAAAAAAAAAAAAAAAAAAAACCAACTTGTATGGGGTTAAGTGTGAAATGAAGAAGAAAATAAGTTGATAGAGTTACATGACAAAAGTCATGGGCTGCTTCTCTTTTCGTCATCATCATGAAAATGTACGCCAATGTTGATTCTGTCTTTAGAAGGAAAAGAAATAAAGCTGCAACAACAACAACAATCTGAAGCAGATCAGATCATCATCATCGTGGCTGCTGGAGACAACTCCGTCCGCTCGCTCGAATACACTCCCACTTGGGCCTTCCCCACCGTCTGCTTCTTCATGGTCTCCGATTCCATTCTTCTCGAGCACTCCATCCATATGCAGAATCACTAACGAACGGGTTATATTAATAATTTGAAAAGTGATGATGATTTAAAAAATAGGAGTGACATACGTGGCATTGTATCCATGGCACCACATTTGCTTGTTTTGAACTTGAAAATTGATTTTGTGTTTCCTATTGCCCTATTCATTATTTGGATTTACGGGGTCACAAAAAGTGTCTTAGACACCACCTACTGAACTTTATACTCACCCTATTATTTTAACATTTTTCAGGATATGGGAAAGAAGTGGCGGATGACGTTCCACCTCATGCCTAATTTGGTTTAGAAGATCATTTTGCTATTTTTGTATCTAAGTCTCACTAGTTTTGTAAAACTTAGTATATTGTATTCTGTACGGAAATTTATGGACTCTTGTTACTGTAATTATATTCATAAACTGTAAATAGATGTAATTGGAGTAAAATTTTAGTATGTGAGCATGAGACTATGTATAAGACAAGTACTCCTTTATTCTGGATGAATGGGATGATGATGATGGGCTATTTTGAGGAGGTTGTTGATGTTGTTATTTTGGGAATGTTTTATATTATTTGTATTATGGGCTGGGAACAGATTAGATAAATTTTGAAGGTCCAAGAGAGGTCATTGCATTTTTATACATTTAAGCAGATTGGTGTAGGACCCTTTTTAGCAGAGGTCTTGCCGATTTTTTTTTTATAATTGGTTTCGGTTTAAGGTCGTTACATATATATTTCCAAACATTATTTACAAATCTATTTTTTATTTATTTTTTATTTTTTTTCGGAAGGTAAATGCAGAAGATGATTGATAGCAAATTTAGATGTTTTTTAAATTATATTTTGTTACATCTTATACATAATATCTTATGTTTTTTTTTTTTTTTTAAAGGTTTTATTTATTAATGAAAGTTTGCAATCTAGCTCATTTTGAAGTTTAGGAGATAAAAGTATTTCATCTACCTGAATTTTAATATACCAATTAATTAAATTTAATGAAATGATTTTGATAACTCTGATATGTCACACTTGAAATCATTATTAGTATATTTTTATTTAAAAAATTTCGTTAGCAGAGATGACAACGAAAAAAAAGTGCTCAAATTATTATTATCATTTGAAAAGTAGAATAAACTTGATCTCGACATTGAACCCTCAGTGATAATGTACTCAATTTGTTTATGTGCATTTATCAATTCGACACTCTCATTTTTATTTTTATTTTTATTTTTTTTTATTTAAAAAAGTGCAGTTTATAAAGCATGAGAATGAATCCCCAATAGAATTTCTCAATGATTATATGTTCCAATTACATTGTGCATTAGATAAGAAGATATAAGTTTCTTTTCCTAAGCATTTGAGTCATGTTAGAGATATATACTATTGTAAGTATATATGTATGTTTGAACTTTAAAAAACGGTGTAAGTAACTGAGTATCGAGGGTTTTTGAAAATCCTTGTATACCATTTTGCATTAAATCTAATGAGGTATAAAAAAATCTGCAATGTTATTCCTTATTATTCTAAATATTATATTTTAAAAACCAAACGACTTTTAGCTGAAAATTTAAAATTCACCCCGATTAGATAAGAGCTACTGTATTAAGAACTACTGTATTAACCACACAGGTAAATCACGTTTTGACTATTCAAATCAAATTATAAATAAAAGGTCAAAGTTTTGGCTTTCCTGATAACCACTTGGCAGCTGATATTTAGTTGGCCCAACTCAACTAGTTCAATGGGCCCAATAAAACCCAACAAATTTTCTTTTACAACGTAATTTAATAGCCTACGTAACAAAGTGTTCACCACAGAGGGACAAATTTAATTCCATTCCTAGACACGTGGAAAATCCAATTCATTTTATTAATACTTGTAGTTTGAGAGTAATTATCAGTAATTAATGAATGATGATTGTAAGAAGTAAGGATTTTAATTCAATATCTAATATCTTAATTAAAATTTAGAAATTTATGCATTTTGATATTTTTATGAGTAATGATATAGTCATAATTGGGGTAATGTTGATTGATAATGAATATATAGTAAATAAAAAAAAACCAACTTGTACGGCGGGGTTAAGTGTGAAATGAAGAAGAAACTAAGTTGATAGAGTTATATGGCAAAAGTCACTGGGCTTAGCTTCTCTTTTCTTATCATCATGAAAATGTACGCCAATATTGATTCTGTCTTGGCCTAAGAAGGAAAAGAAATAAAGCACCAACTGCAACAACAATAACAATCTGAAGCTGTTCAGATCATCATCATCATGGCTGCCGGAGACAACTCCGTCCGCTCCCTCGAATACACTCCCACTTGGGCCCTAGCCACCGTCTGCCTCTTCATGGTCTCCGTTTCCATTCTTCTCGAGCACTCCATCCATCTCCTCACCAACGTAAGTAAATATAATTAATACCACAAATACACACATTTACACACAATATATATATATATGTATGTATGTATTTTAATTAGAACATTACATGGTGCAGTGGCTCAAAAAACATCGGAAGGTTGCCTTAAACGATGCTGTGGACAGGATTAAATCTGGTGGGCGAGATGATCTTAATTTCATATTTATTTATTTATTTTTGGTATTATAATTTTGTTTTATTATGTATATATAAAATTAATGAGATTGTTGTTAATAATTTGGTTAAATTTGGTTGCAGAGCTGATGCTACTAGGGTTCATGTCACTTATATTAGCAGTGACACAAGTCCAAATTTCAAATATCTGCATATCCACAAGGCTTGCAGATATCATGCTTCCATGTAGCAAACCTAAGAATACTACTTCTACAACAACAGTTGTGGAGGATTATCAAGTCTATAGTACTGTTTTTGGAGTTGTAGGACATTTGTTACACGTCAATGGTTTCTATAATAATACTAACAACTCGTGGACACCACATAGAGGATTGGATGAGGAAGAGAAGGTGCCCGTTAATGAGACTGCAACTACTGATTCTTGCGCTGAAGTATGTTAATTTCTAAGAAATTCGATCATATATAGTTCTCTCTCGTGTATCTCTTTTATGGATGAGTAATGTTGTTTAGACGTATTTCACAAATCGACGGGTGTAATCGAAAGAATTTTTATGGATTGATTGATTCCATGGTGCAGGGAAAGGTACCTTTGGTGGCTCAAGAAGGGATTCAACAGCTCCAAATATTCATTTTTGTGCTAGCGGTTATGCAAATTGTTTACAGCCTTGTCACCATGGGTCTGGGTAGGGCTAAGGTAATTTAATTACAAGCTCAATTAATTTGTTGATGTTTTTTCAAATTTTACTACAACGTAGATGGATGTGTTTGTGTCACGGTGATAGAAATATTTAGCAATCCTTATCGGTTTCAGTTTTAATCAATCAAAATTAGCGTTTAATTGGATTCCAATTTGCATAGATGAGGCGTTGGAAAGCTTGGGAAAAAGAGACTCAAACCACCGAGTACCAAGTTGCAAATGGTATGTCTAAATCTATATATATATATATATTTTATCATTGCTCTCTTTTCAGGCTAGTCAAACAAATAGAAAGCCTATAACGGCGTGTTTGCCAATTTGTCTACGGCAAAAAAATAAAATAAAATAACAAAAAAATGAGATGACTTATAACAAGTTTCCAGAATTAATTCAGTTGGTTTGGACTTTTTTTATAGAAGTATAGTTTGGGTGTTTGAGCGACCAATTAATGTGTATTACGTGCTGGAATGTGTGTGTGTTTTGTGTTGGAATGTGTGTGTATTACGTGCTGGAATGACTATCATTTCCTGAATTGGCAATGGGAATGGTAGTAGCAGGGTCTAAGAAATTAATTTCCAAGTCTTAGATGGGGTGCTATTATCATATTTCAATTTTATACCCATAATAAATGAGAAATGGTAGGTCCACAATTTCTTGACTTCGGGGGGATGGTGGGCAATATTATCAATTTTTATTTTTATATATACAACTCATTGTTAATTAGTAGTATTTGTTTGTTTCACAAATTATATTAACCCTTCTTTTGAGGGGTTACTGTCCCAAAACAATTGTATTTGTAGGTATGATCGAGTCCTAGCACTAATTAAAGTCAAATGGTTCTCAAAACTGGATATTATAATATTGTAATGAATTATAACGATAAACAACAACACTGCTCAATATATTTGTGTAACCATTAATCTTGTTAGAATACATAGTTTTGTTGTTTTTAATATTTTCGTTATGTTCATCAGACCCAAATCGATTTAGATTCACAAGGCAAACAACATTCGGAAGACGACACACAACCATGTGCACTGATACATCAATTTTCTTGTGGATTGTGAGTTATAAAATTTATATATTTTATTACATACTATTTTTTAATCTATTATATTAATTGTAATAATGATTTAATTAGTTGACACATTGTAACAATTTGAGTACTGTGAAAATGGTGCAGAAATGTTTTTTCAGACAATTCTCTAATTCAGTAGCCAAGGTTGACTACCTTACCTTGAGGCATGGTTTCATCGCGGTAATTAATTATCATTCAATTTCAGTACTCTTCCTGATTTTCCAATTTGAATTCATATATATATATATATATATATATATGAGAGAAATATATAGAGATTAGAAAATTGTTTTGCTTACGGTTGTGAATATGTCTGTTAGGCTCATTTGTCGGCTAGGAACAAAGACTTCAATTTTCAAAAGTACATACAACGATCCTTGGAGGAAGACTTTAAAGAAGTTGTCAGCATCAGGTGATACATTTTCTAATTTACTGTTCTTATTGACTTTGATCACTTTATAAACCCTATTTTTAAAAAAATTAAATGAAAGAAAAAAACTATATATCTTGAGAACACTTCGTCTCAGCCGTTAGATGGAGATCTCATGTACTAATATGACCTCGATCCAACGTTAAGCAGGAGCATACTCTTGAGAATTCTCTTCTATAGCAGCATAATCATATAAAATTTGCATATACACAAAAAATAACTACAACATCGTAGAATCCAATATATATATATATATATATTTCCATACTTCTAACTCTCCTAATAAGTTGTCTTTCTCTTGACAGCCCTCTTATGTGGTTTATAGTTGTTATCTTCATGCTTGTGGATGTTCATGGTGAGTAGGAAATACATTTTCCAGATCTTTTTTTATTCAAGATTATTGTGGATTTTATAAGTTTGTGTTTTGAACTCAATCAGGTTGGAATGTATATCTGTGGGTGTCTTATGTTCCACTATTGGTAAGTATATATATGGCAAATAAAAAAATAAACAACTTAATTAAAATTAACTTATTAAATATATGATTACTAAAACTAAACTTGAGCCCATTCTACAATATTTATATGTTGCAGATAGTGCTGTTAACTGGAACCAAACTTGAAGTCATTGTTGCAAGGATGGCTCTGCAAGTTAATAATCAGAACAATGTAATCATAGGGACCCCTCTAGTTCAACCCAACGATGATCTCTTCTGGTTTGGGCGACCGAGTTTCGTTCTCACTCTTCTACATTTGACCCTTTTTGTGGTATTTACTTCTTCTTCGATTAAAGAAAAATTAAAATCATTCTCTTTTTCATTAATCTTAAATTACTGAACTAATAAATGCTACCTTTTCTTGTTCATTTTAGAATGCATTTGAGCTTGCCTTCTTCATTTGGGTGACGGTAAGTGTTTGTTTTGTTTCATCTTTCCACATTCGATCAATGTCTTTCCAAAACATTCTTATGCTTCTTTTTGAATTCAGATACAATTTGGAGTGAAATCTTGTTACCATGAGCACACAGTGATCATTGTCACACGAGTGGTGTTAGCGTAAGAGACGAATATTCAATTTACATGTCATCTCTGATTCAATTTTCTTTTATGATACAAAAACTTACTAACAAATCATTTTCCCATATATGTTACAGTGTGACAGTTCAGGTCCTTTGCAGCTACATTACTCTGCCCCTATATGCACTTGTGACACAGGTATTTAACAATATGAACATATTCACAATTTTGACATATTTTTACAATTCAGGCATGGTTTATTATGATAAATAAATTGTTGTCCACAGATGGGTTCACAGTTCAAAAGCAAGGCACTCGAGGAGCAAATCGCGAAAATTATAAAGCAATGGCATGCTGAAGTGAGGGACAAGAGGAGAAGACAGGAACAATCCTTCCAGTCTACTCCGCGGACTTCTTTGTCCGCAGAATGGAGCCTCAGAAATAGTCCCATCGATTATTCTTCTCATCACCGGCCCATGAATAATGGGATGCCAACTGAAAGCAATCACTTGTCCAACAGAGGAGAAATCACTGAAGAAGAACAAGTGGTGGACTCATCTAGGGTTCCACCACGGACGGGCATGCTCGAATTGCCAACAGTGAGGAACTAAAAATTAAGCATATTCAGTGGTGCTTTATTCATTTTTCTGAGGAAGTTTTGAGTTCCACACAGTAGTTCACTTTCACATATGTTTGTATATGTAAAACTGTCCATATTATGGCATGACTTGCTGACATTTGTAACACAGCTGAATCAAAATTGGTTGTAGAAGGATCATGCTTACATATGAGATTTTAATGTTGTTCCCTGAGTGGACTTAGCCTAAAACAAACTGATAAGTGATGCATAACAAACACATGAATTTGTGGTATAATAATACATGGGACTTGAATGCTTATAATGTTGGGCTGAATTCAGGGTAGGTCACACAAATCTGCAAACAATCCGGATACCCTCCTCGAGGGGATCCTTTTGGTGCAATAGTCTATCGATACATAAAAAGGTAGTTGTTGAATGAGCGGTATAATGTAGTTATTGCTTATGCGATATAAAATTGTTGCATAAGTGATGTAATGGCACATGACGCGACACAAGATGAAGTGGAATAGGAGAGTATCATATATTTATAAACAGTTACATGGTTGGATATAGCAACAAACTTGCAAATTTAGGCAGGATTTAACCTAAAATTTAGCTGGGGGCAAGTAAGTCTTTTAGCATGTGAAAGATGTGGAGTAAGGTGGTTCAATGGGACCATGACTCATAACCACATCTGCCATTGTCTAGGACCCCCACTTGTTGTATTGATTTGCTTCATTTATTCTCTTTGCTTTCACTACCACCACAACACCACCGCTACCATGTGGATATATATAACGTCTCTTTTCCCAAAGTGCCACATCTCTCTCTCTCTCTGATCTCTCTCCATGGCCAATGACTATGAAGTGTGTCTTTTTGAAGTGATGAATCGTCTTTGGTTCCACCAAATTATTCTTTTCCCTGAACCAACTGTACTTATCCCCAAAACACTTAAAACATCAAAACCAACCTCAGAATCACTTCCACATCCATCTATTACAGAGGATCATGAAATGTTATCACCAATTCCATCTTCAGCAACTCCTCTACAGGTAATGAAAGCGCGCATTCCTCTCTATCTCAATACACACTGACAAACATATATACAATTTTGTTAACTTATGTTTTTTTTTTTTTTTTTTTTTTTTTTTTTTCTGTTATTACAAGGAGGATGACTCCAACAATGAAGATGATACTGAAAGGCTGAATTTAATGATAAGCAAATCGCGGTCACATTCATCATCACCATTGAACAAAAAGAGCTCGAAATGTCTCAGTAATTACTCCGGTTATAGCACGAGCTTGCAGAAAACGATGAGCTGCAAGAGCTTGTGGGAGCTAGAACTTGAGGAAGTAAAGGGTTTCAGGGACTTGGGTTTCATATTCACAAAAGAAAATTTAACCCCACGAATGATGAGTGTATTACCAGGCTTGCAAAGACTTGGACTTGGAGGTTTTGCACCTAAAGATGATGAAACTGAAAAAGAAGAAGAAGAAGAAGAGGAAGAAGAGATGAGAGGTTTAATGATGAGGCCATATTTATCAGAGGCGTGGCTAATAAAGAGACCGGATTCGACGCTGCTAAACCTGAGGATACCGAGGGTGTCTGCCGCTGCTGATATGAAGAAACATATTAGGAATTGGGCTAAAACTGTGGCTTCTGTCATTCACCATGTTTCTTGAATCTGCTAGTGCAAAGGAGGATGAGAAACACAGCATCCACTCATTTTCGGAGTAGAGAATCTATTCTGCCGACAACTTGCAACTGTAAAATTAATATGCCTTAGTTGAATTTGAATATATAATGTGGTGATTGAAATGAATGATCCAAATGTAAAATTAATGATTTTTGTTTACTGTCTTAATTTCAGCTTTCTTCGTCTTGTAAACATTGTTTTGTAAACATAATATCAGAGTAAGTTATAGAATTCAAACCAAATGAAAAACGTGTATTGAATAAAAATGACCTGAGAGAGGCTTTTAGAGCACACTAGGCAATGAAAGAGATTAGTCTAAGTAATATGTGGAGGTGAATCCCGGTTATGTTTAATTTGAACTTGTGTGAAACTAGTCAAACAATTTTGACGGGGAGTAATTTATAATTCAATTATGTATAATACTAATTATCTCAACCCTGGCCAAACACAATATTGTCCGCTTTTGGTTCACCCAGACCAGAGACTTCTCAGGGGGTCACCCATCCTGGTACTACTTCAAGTTAAGCACGCTTAACTACAGAGTTCTGATGGGTTCACGGCCATCACGGCTTTAAAACGCGTTGTGTCATAGAAGGGTGTTGAATCTACATATAGCACTTGCCGCATCCACACCCAGACGATATGGGATTGTGCACTTGCAGCTCGCCCAGTGTGGTAGCCTACTGGTGCCCCCTGCACACGCTCACACACACCCGCCCACAAGGTCGCCACAATCACCCCCCTTTTGGGGCCCAACGTCCTCGTTGGCCACACTTCCGGCTGGATCAGTCTCTGATACCATTTTTAACGACTCTCACCCTGGCCAGACACAATATTGTCTGCTTTTGGCTCACCCAGACCAGAGATTTCCCAGGGGGTCACCCATCCTGGTACTACTCCAAGTTAAGCACGCTTAACTACAGAGTTCTGATGGGTTCACGGCCATCACGGCTTTAAAACGCGTTGTGTCATAGAAGGGTGTTGAATCTACATATAGCACTTGCCGCATCCACACCCAGACGATATGGGATTGTGTACCTACAGCTCGCCCAGTGTGGTAGCTTACTGGTGCTCCCTGTATACGCTCACACACACCCGCCCACAAGGTCGCCACAAATTTAGCCTCTATTTGGTTACTAGTCAAACAATTTTGACGTGGAGTAATTTATAATTCAATTATGTATAATACTAATTATCTCAATAATTTAGCCTCTATTTGGTTGAAAAGAAATGAATGGAAAAGAAATTAAATGGAGAGTTATGTTATTATTATAATTTTTTTTTAATTTTTAAATGGAAGAATTTGGAGGGATGCATTAAAGCTTGATGAGTTGGTTTTGTTCTATTTTAAAAGTGGAAGGATGGGGAAGAAAATGCTATCATTTTTAATAAAATTTTATTAACATCAAATTTGTCTTCATTTTCATAAAAGATAAAATTTATGAAAAATAATATAATTTTATTTTTTTTATTCCTTAAAATAGTCTCGTCTCTCTTCTTTCTTCAAAAGTAATTAAATAATTATTTTATTTGTTAATCAACTAAACAGAGACAGAAAGGACTATGTTGGTGTGATCGGCCCATCTACAATTTATTGCTTGGGCCGAACTCTTTACAGCCCGACCAAATCATGGTGATCTAAAATGTGCAAGGCCTGCCCTCAGGCCAGTTGTAACTTGACAAGCATTCAGGCTCTGTAGGATCATACCCAGAAGGAAGTTAATTCCCAACTCTTCTCCTCAACTTCAACTTCAGAGACATTTGTAACGTAATAAATTACAAATTTCTTCTAGCTTAAGCTTATCATAAATTTTATATATATATATATATATATATATATATATATATATATATATAATTTCCTAATTTCTTCTTCATACATAGCAAGCCAGTTACAGTAGAGAGGGGGCAAAACTCGAGGTACGTAGATGGATAATATATATATTTTTTTTGACCTTTAACCGTCTTGGCAAATAATACAAAACCCACTTTATCATTGCATATGATATGACTGAGGTACTATATGTAATTTTTAAGAGCAATAATTTGTTGATTGTTGAAAGTCTTGTAGTATCTGAATTATTTGAATATAATCCATCGACATTATTTATGATTTTTAACTTGCTCTTCTTCTCAATATGATTTCTATCTTTATATATGTACTTTAATTTCTTTCGATCTTACCACTTTTTCCGGATTTGTTCCCAATTTGATAAAATTCCATTTTTTTTTTCAAATTTTTTATTATTAGTAAATGGTAAAGAATTTGAAATATTATACTTATTGAAATATATTATCTAACACTCATCTCTAAAATAGTTACTCACGGATGAGAAGTTTTACCCTACTCACCCCTTATGTGTTCCAATAACAAAACAACATATCAGTTTTAATAACAAAATAACCCATGCCTTCCTTTGTTTTCTCAGACCAACCATTGAATAATTGTACACATCATTTTTTTTATTATTATTTTGCTGAATTTATTATTAAAGCTAATGTGCTATTTTGTTATTGGAACACATAAGGGGTGAGTAAGTAGCTAAGTATTGTTCATATTGGACTAGTTACAGATGCACAATCCCACATCGCCAGTGTGGATGGGACAAGTGCTCTATGTAGATTTAATACCATCTTATGATACAACGTTTTTTAAAGTCGTGATGGCTATGAATCCACCAGAATTCAGTAATTAAGCCTTCTTAATTTGAAGTAGTACAATGATGGGTGACTTTGGGAAGTCTCTGGTCCGAGTAAGCCAAAAACGGACAATATTGTGTCTAGACCTAAGTCACACAATCTTTTTCAACATGTGTTGTTCTCCTGCGTCACGTTTCGCGCGCACTCTTACTCAACTAGGAGAGTTGTTACATAAGTAATTTGGTTGTGGTGGGTCCGGGGAAGAACCGACTTCTATTTTTCTTCATTGAGGAAGAACCACTATAGGATGTCCTGTCTTTATGAAATTTTAAGATAAGAGGATGTGGAGTGAGAAAAACGGCTAAAATTGACTTTGGTTAAATAAAGAAAGGTATGAAATTCCAACACAAAGAAGTGGATTGAGTGAAGATAAATTCACCAATCATTAAATTTGATACCACGTAACAGTTTCCCACTGGCTTTGTGTGGTCGTAGTGAGATGAAGTAATTTGTACGCTTAGCTTTACTAAATTGGGGATGACATGGCAATCCATATTCAATGGTTAATTAATGCTTCCTCAACACTTAACTTGTGATCAAACCACTAAAATTGTGATCAAACCATTGCATAACCATGAGGTCTATATCAACTAAGATGGATAATTGTATTGTTAATTGATGTCAAAATAAATTTATGGCAAATTATAAAGTTTTAATTAAATTTTTATATATATTTTTCTCTTAATTTCAGTTGATAAAATATGATTAATTACGTAATGATTTAATTGTGTGCTTATTTTTTTTTATGTCTAAAACGTATTACACCTTATAATATCATTACTTCATTGAATCATTATATTTATTCTTCTCTTATACGTAGCTTTTTTCTCTTCACATACTATATATATATATATATATTGTATTAGTATGCTAACTATAACTTGCCACTAACTACTACCTACCTTGGACGGTGGTGATGGTGGGGGTGGCTACTTTGCGGTGCCATCAATTGATAATCTATTACGGATCGATTTGGATGGAATACTTTTGATTCCTCCAAATATTTGATGGTCCTGTTAGTGGTATCCTGTTGGGATGCAAATATTGAGATCAATCAGTATTTATTCAATCATAATTTATGTTTCTTTTTATTAATTATAGTAATTTTACCTTTTTTAAATTTAGATATCTGTGAAATTTTCATATGGCCCCGTTGAAATTACAAAAAAAAAAAATTACAATTATCCCTCATTCCCTCCCCCACAAATTCCTGAATTCGTTCTGGGTTTGCTCGGAATATATATGTGTGTGGGTGTGTGTATATATATATATATGATACACACATGCATGAATGTAATATTGCATTTATTGGCTTACTCCAATGCATGTAGATGGCAATTAACTAAGTAAATACAAGATTAATTACTTCCATATCGCATACTACGTATTTATTACTATGGCTTTCTTTACCATTTATTTAATTTGACGAAGAGAGCAGTTGGTTTTGGGTGGGACTACGCGTGGGAAGAAATAGCCGAAAGGTCAGAGAAAGTGACTCTAGTGGAGATCAGGAAGAGGCTTACATTTTCATCCTGCACTTACCACTCCTATATAAGCTTTGAGCAGGTTCACTCTCCTTAACACATCACACAAAGAGCCAAACTGAGAAGGAGCCAGGAAGATGTTCACCAACAAACATCCAAGTTGTTCAACCTTCATCTTTCTGTTTTTACCGTTACTCCTACAGTTTTATTCTGGTACCACTTCCTCACATTTTACTCTTTCACCTATTGTAACTTGTTCTTTCTGTATCATTATTTTGTAACATACAATGATATGCGCATTTATCATAAGATTCTCATACTCATTTTATAAATTGTCCACTAAGGGTATCCAAACCCTAACCTCCCCTTCGAGAAAGGAGAAGTTATACCATTAGACTATCTCGAATATATATATTGTAATGTGAAAAGGTTTCCAATTACCCTCTACCTTGCTTTAGAATAAGAGGAATAATGTATTGTCTCTTCAAAATATTTTAATATGGTAATGCTCTTTATGTCTGTGTGCATGTTTTTTTCTCTTATGAAGGTAAAAGTGAACTCCAATTGAATTACTACTCGGAGAGCTGCCCAAGGGCTGAAGAGATCGTGAAAAAACAAGTCACCGACCTGTACAATAAGCACGGAAACACAGCTGTTTCATGGATCAGAACTATATTTCATGATTGCATGGTTAAGGTATATATGTGCCTAATTTAATTAAATACATATGCACTCTTTTCTTTTCTTTCTTTTTCTTTCTGGTAAGTCACATTCTATGCACTCTGCATGAACATCAATATTAATTCTTGCTAATTGTATGGTTGTTAATGTAGTCATGCGATGCATCAGTGTTGTTGGCAACAACACGTGAAATAGAGTCAGAGCTGAAATCTCAGAGGAGTTTTGGGATGAGAAATCTCAAGTACATAAACACTATCAAACAGGCCCTTGAGACTGAATGCCCCATGACTGTTTCTTGTGCTGATATTGTTGCTCTTTCTGCAAGAGATGGTGCTGTCATGGTATGTTTTTTTAAAAAACTTTTTCTCTTTACACACACACACACGTACACTGCGAATTACGCTTTGATTTCCATTATTTATCCATGTTGTAGCTAGGAGGTCCACACATTGAAATGAAAACCGGACGAAAGGATGCCAAGGAAACCTATGCAATGCAAGTGGAAGACTTCATTCCTAACTTCAATGATTCCATGTCACTGGTTCTATCCAGTTTTCAATCAATTGGCATCGATGTCGAAGGAACAGTCGCTCTTCTAGGTAATACATTTCTCTTTTTCTTTTTCTAGTTGTTCAGTTTTTTGATTTTCAGTTCTCCATCTCAAAAAATTAAACCAAGAAGGCCGGTACTCTCTCTACCATTTAACCATACTAAAGCATGGAGTTGTAATTTTTTATCTCTTCCATATACGCAGGAGCTCACTCGGTGGGACGAGTCCATTGCCTGAATCTTGTTGACAGACTCTACCCCACAGTTGACCCTACCTTGGATCCCGAGTATGCTGAGTACCTCAAGCGTCGGTGTCCAACACCGGTGCCTGATCCGAAGGGGGTGGAATATGCAAGGAATGATCGCGAAACACCTATGGTGCTCGATAATATGTACTACAAGAACCTGCTGAACAATAAGGGACTACTACTAATTGATCAGCAACTCACTACTGATCCAAACACATCTCCTTTTGTCCAGAAAATGGCTGCTGATAATAGCTACTTCCATGACCAGTTTTCCAGGGCTCTCCTTTTATTATCGGAGAATAATCCGCTCACTGGAGATCAAGGAGAGATAAGAAAGGATTGCCGCTATGTGAATAGTGGCTAAAATTTGTTCTCACTTGCACACACATATATAAATATATATATAAAAGAAATGAAGAAGAACTCATTTCAGTTTAATTTATGTTTGCAGTGATAGTAGTAGTATTAGAGGCATAATCAAATTTGAAGATTTTCATACTATATAATTTGTTCCATTTTGTCAATCATTTAGTTGTTTTACAGGATCTACAAAATTATAAATAGTTTGCACCCTAAACTCTGTGGTCAAGTGGCTTGTTGTATTTGGGAAGGTCTGAATAGGTATAAAAATATTATGACGTGGAAATTTAAGTAAAAAAATCTTCATTTGGTGGAGTGATTTGGTGGAGTGTTGATGTAATATTTGAAACATTTTCCATAATACATTTTGTTCCTAAATAGGCATATCTACCCTGTTATCTTGTTAAAATACTCCGCTATTTATGAAGTAGACTATAATAAAAAGGTTTACATACTATGTTTTTTTTTTTTTTTTTTCTCACTTTTGTCCAACGCTGGAAAGGTGTGAATTGTAATAAACTGCACATTCAACTGCAACCCAATTATTTTGAAGATGTAATTACGCCTCACTATTCAAAGGATTACAATATTACTACCTCAAAATTGTAATATATTGTAATATATTTATGATAATATAATAAATATAGTACATATAAATTTGGACCTTTCCTACAAACATATAGGGCCTAGCTTTTTGTAGCTAAACAGACTTCTAAACTGAAAATCATTAGCCCGCGTGGTGAAATTTCAGCAACTCAATTAATTTTCTACGAAGTAGCGTAACATTCGGAGAATTTTTTTTTTTTTTTGTCACCACATTCGGAGAATTGAAACATGACGAGACAGTGGTTATACTTTATAGGAAAAAGATAAATTTATTGCCGGTTGATGTGAGGTATTGGCTGAAACATTTTAAGCAAGGATCTTTGTTTAACCATGTCTATTGAAATCTTATTAAAAATCTATTGATCACCGAAAATTTGACCGTTGAGATGAACACGTGTACACCCAACTTAGCCACCTGGCTCTCTCAAAGCTTTTTGCCTTTAGTATTCCTTTGTAGTTTTCTTGGGATTTGTGTTCTTACGGTGAAGAATATGCAATCCCATCTCTCTCTCTCTCTCTCTCTCTCTCTCTCTCTAAAATTCCGTGACTATTCACCCCGAATCTAGAAAAAACCAGAATTTCAGACAAACCCACTTTAACTCTTCATGATTCTTCTAATGGGTTGTCCCGAAAACTAGCAATGTCGTCACTTTCCTCTGATTTTTCCGGCATTGTCTGCGTAAAGTACTTCTTCCTATTGCTCTGTTTCTCCGGCGTATCCGTCACCGTCGAAAGCACTGAATTCGATTTCGGAACGTTAACTCTCGGTAGTTTGAAGCTCCTGGGCGACGCTCACTTGAGCAATGGGAGCGTGAGGCTCACTCGTGACCTTGCTGTCCCTGACTCCGGTGCCGGCAGGGTTTTATACTCCAAGCCAGTCAGATTCCGGCAATCGGGAAGTTCTACTCCGACTAGCTTTTCAACATTCTTCTCCTTTTCCGTCACGAATCTGAACCCGTCTTCGATCGGCGGCGGGCTCGCTTTTGTCATTTCGCCTGACGACGAGACCGTCGGCGACGCCGGCGGGTACCTAGGCCTCATTGACGAGAAGGGTGCTCCAAACGGTGTCGTTGCGGTCGAATTCGACACTCAAATGGACGTAGAATTCAAGGACATTAACGGAAACCATGTGGGTTTAGATCTGAACTCGATGGTCTCGTCACAGGTTGGTGATTTGGGGAGTATTGGTATTGATCTCAAAAGTGGTGACTTGGTCAACTCGTGGATCGACTACTCCGGGTCGACTAGGATCTTGACCATATTTGTCTCTTACTCCAATCTTAAGCCCAAAGTCCCCTTCTTATCGTTCAAACTCGATCTTAATCAGTACGTGAACGATTTTATGTTTATTGGGTTCTCTGGGTCGACTCAGGGTAGTACTGAGATTCACAGCATTGAGTGGTGGAGTTTTAGTTCATCTTCTGATGCAAATTCAAAATCTGAATCGTCCGCCCCACCACCACCAACGGCTAGTTTGGTGAATCCAACGGCTAATTCTTCGGCACCTTCTGATTCTAATAGTAACCCCACATCACAAACCCTAGACCCACGGGCTATGGCTGGTGTAGTAACAGCTGGGGCTGTGTTTTTAGCTTTGTTTGCTGTTGTTCTCATCTGGGTATACTCTAAAAAGTTCAAGCATGTGAAAAAGTCTGAATCTTTGGCTTCTGAAATCATCAAAATGCCCAAAGAATTTAGTTACAAGGAGCTTAAATCAGCCACTAAATGCTTCAATTCAACCCGAATTATCGGGCACGGCGCGTTTGGGACTGTATATAAGGGTATATTACCGGTGACCGGCGGGGTTGTGGCGGTGAAGAGGTGTAGTCATAGTGGTGGTCAAGGGAAGGCTGAGTTTTTATCTGAATTGTCCATAATTGGGACTCTTAGGCATAGAAATCTTGTTAGGCTTCAAGGTTGGTGTCACGAGAAAGGTGAAATTTTATTGGTATATGACTTGATGCCTAATGGGAGCCTTGACAAGGCATTGTTTGAATCAAGAATGACCTTGTCCTGGCCTCATAGGCATAAAATTTTGATGGGCGTTGCTTCTGCTTTAACATATCTGCATCAAGAATGCGAAAATCAGGTAATTCACAGGGATGTGAAGAGTAGTAACATAATGTTGGATGAAGGATTCAATGCAAGATTAGGCGATTTCGGGTTGGCCCGGCAAATCGAGCACGATAAATCGCCGGACGCGACGGTGGCAGCCGGAACAATGGGGTACTTGGCTCCAGAATACTTGTTAACAGGAAGGGCCAGTGAGAAAAGTGATGTGTTTAGCTATGGAACTGTGGTTCTTGAAGTGGCTAGTGGAAGGAGGCCTATTGAGAAAGAGGTTGGTACCAATTTGGTGGAATGGGTTTGGAGTTTGCATAGAGAAGGGAAGTTGTTGGTGGCTGTTGATTCAAGGCTTGGAGGAGAGTTTGATGAGGGAGAGATGAGGAGGGTGTTGTTGGTTGGGTTGGCTTGTTCTCACCCTGACCCAATGGCCAGACCAACAATGAGGGGTGTGGTCCAAATGCTTGTGGGTGAGACTCAAGTCCCTATTGTGCCAAGAGCTAAGCCTTCAACGAGTTTCAGCACTTCTCATCTGCTATTGAGCTTGCAGGATAGTGTGTCTGATTTGAATAGTGTGTCGTCCTCATCAGAACATAGCCACACTGGTGGTGTTGAACTAGTCTAATTTAAACAGTATTTATTAGAAACTCATATATAGTCTATTCATTTGTTCAATTATGTATGAAATTGTAAAAATAATAAATACATTAATACATGAAATGTATGCACAAGGTTTGGAGAATCAGGCGCTCATTTTCGTGTTGTCCAATCATCAGTGCCAATAGACGAGCATAAATGGTGGATGTCGTTTTCTTGCTTTTGGACGGAATTTTTTATTTTTATTTTTATTTTTGTGTGTGGGTTGTTGTGTTTACACTTGCCTCAAAAGAATGGAGGTTTTGTGCGGTGACAAATGACAATAGCAATGCATATTGATATTGAAATATTGATTATCAACTTTCCGCAATATGGTGTCACTAAATTACTTTTTAAGAGGTGGAATAGAGTATTGATATTGAAATATTGATTATCAACTTCCCGCAATATGGTGTCACCAAATTACTTTTTAAGAGGTGGAATAAAGTTGGTTGTACAGTGTAATGGAGACGGTGAAAATCATCTTCACAATCAATTTAATGACTCTGTACATTGAAAAAATTTTAGTTCGTATATAAAAAAAAAGAAAGATAATCTATTGTGCTACTTACATATATGAAAATGAGAGAAAACGTCTGTAAGTGACCGAACAGTATCATATTCTTACTTTACAAAGGGAGGTATAAAATTCAAATCTCGGTGGAGAATGTGTGTGTATTTCTGTGAAAGCATTTCCTATTTTATCCACGAATTTTAGATTGGAATTTACTCGAGAGAGCTTTGGTTCCGGTTCGGTTTAGAATTTTAGATTGGAATTTATTAGAACATAGCTTCGGTTCCGGTTCGGTCCTCATGGTTCCACTATTTTTTTGTGCACCCCTAGAGAGAAATGACCCGCCTTTATAAATAAAAAGAGAACTAAATAGCTTTTCTAAAGTCCTAACCACATCCTGTACGTATGCATGACCTTAGAATCATTCAAAAAAGATGATATATTAAAGCAACAAAGTGAGAAGAGACCAGCCTCTATAAATATTTTATAAAGAGCATTTTGGAATGAAACTTCTTTTCTTGATGTGCCACTGTAAATGTTATGTCTTGCGTTCATAGTGGAGAGTCTTGAAAAATTGTAAACAAAAAAAGAAAAAAGAAAAAGTTGGATTAGAGAGAGAGTAGGAGGATGAATTCAATGACTTATTATTTGTATTATAAGTCAATTTTGTCATCTAAAATTTATTTTTAAAATGTTTATCAAACCTTTAAGTGTTTTTGACCAAATTATTCTTAAATGGTTACTTAATATCAATTAAGTTTCAATTAACTTTAAGGTCATTATAGAGCAATTGTGTTTAATTTTGGTCACCAAAATATAATTTTCACTTTTTTTAACTATTATAATATTCGCCGATAATGTCAAATGTTATATACAGTAAGTTTTATTTATAAAAAAAAATAAAAAATAAAATAAAATTAGATCATTGATTGTTAAGATGTATATGTATTTTTCATAAATAAAAAAAGTAATATTATTTGTTTCGGAAGGTAATAAGAAAGTTATATTCACTTTTGGAACGTTGTTTACAAGTCTGGCAATCCAAGTCACACATAATCCATTACAATTAGCTCAAAGAAAATAAATAAATAAAGGTTCTCAAATTCCCTTCACAAAGGAAAGTATATATTTGACTAATATTTTATCCGAATACATAATTTACTTGATGTGGTCAATAATTATTATTATACCAATTTATAAAAATTGTTTACATTCTTTTAGAAAGCACAAGAATTCTTATTAAATTTTATTTATTGGATATGAAAATGATATAATTGTGGTCTGCATAACAAACTTGACTTTAGAATTTAGTAAAAATGGGTGAGAGTCAGACTTTATTTATTGGCGCAACTAGTACTCATAATTGAATCATCATAGGCAACAATAACGGTGAAGATGATGATAATTACTCCGTCTTAAAATATGAATTAAGGACCCAATTCCACTTAATTCAAATTATGTGGGATGGAAATTCAAATTATGTAAAAGTGTGGGATTACCATTACATGACTTATGATATGAATTCAAATTATGTTAAAGAGTGGGATTATCATTACATGACTTAGTATAGCCAATCATCACAAATTCCTACACAGTTAAAATTGTAAAATGTTTAAGGTTTAATTTCACCGACATCCTTTTAAGTTTAGCCAAATATCATATTAAATTTTTTTCAAAAATTACTATCACTAACACCCCAAATCATTTAGCCAAATATCACATTAAAACATATTTCGAAAATTACTATCACTAACACTCCAAATTAATTTTTCGTTATTGACATCGTTAAAATAGGTGTGAAATAACATTTCTACCCTAATTTTTTAATGTCTTTTAATCTAAAATATTATAATTGTAAAAGGACAAAATTGCCCCCATTAGTTATCCACCAACACCCCTCACCCTCTCTCTATCTTCAACGCGAACCACCTCCCAGTCTCCCACCACCTCACCAATACCATTGCCATTTGAAGACATTATCAATTATATATTTCAAATGAGAGTTATGATTGAAAAAGAGTCACACAAATAAACAAAAGAAAAATACCCTTTATATAAATATATACACACACAAGCAAAAATCGCTCCAATTTCTCAATCATCAGATTCATCACATATTGCTCCAATTTTTCAATCATCACATTCATTTTGCTTTTTAGTAAAATTCATTTATAAAAAATAAAATCGTTCGGTGATTGAAAGAAAAAAAAGTTTAAATTTTGAGATGATTTAGGTGTATTCTTTTGCAAAGTGTGAAATTAAGATTAGGAATATATTTGTGATTTTTTTTTATTTTTATCCATTTCAATTATTCTTTCAATTGTCGTGGTAGAGATGTGGTTCTGAAAGAGATGATGGTGGTGGCCGGTACGGACACCATGAGAAATATATATATATATATATATATAATAATGTTAGTCAATTGATTTGGTTACACAACTTACACAATTAGTTAATTGATTTTGCCATTATTTGATGTAATAATAGAGGTAGTGAGAGGGGTTAGAAATGTTATTTGAAATACTAAAAAAGCATTTAATGAAATAATACCAAGTCAAATGGGTAATATTGTCTTTTTACATTGCCACTAAATCATACCTGAAAAGTAACTTTCGGAAACTTTTAGAATAAGTGTAAAAATGAGCTAAAGATTTACTAATTTTTGAAAGATATTTCAATATCATATTTTGTTAAATTTGAAGAAATGTCTATAAAATTAATCCAATTTTTAACTGTGCGGCAACCTATGATCCGTCAAAACCATCCGATACTTTAATTACTTATTTAGCGAGAGGAATATATATACACGCTGTAGTCGTGTCATAAATGAGTATAAACAAAATATTAGAGGTAATTTCATGAATACTGGAAACTTAGAGGTCACAAATGAATATTAAGTGTTGTCATGATTATAAGCTGACCCATTTGGTTGTTAAGAGCAATGCGAGCGCATAGACTTGGATCGATTTCTCCTCCGTCGTCGCTCGATCTCTCTTCTTTAATCTAAAACCCATGGAGTACGAAGACGACTTGGCCCACCACTCCACTCCGTCCTTCGATCAAGTGGTACGCTTCCTCATAATCTTAAAATCCAATCTCCCAATTTAATCTTTTAATTTCAAGATCTGTTTGGATTCATATACTTTTTAGATCTCAAATACTGTGATCTACATATTCATATAGTTTATGTTCTGGTTTCAGTCAATTCGAATTTCATCATGAATTCAATTGTCTGAGCTTGAATAGCTTGAAACAGAATCTACAGAGTAAACATTTATTTCAAAATAAATTGAAAAGAAGGAATTTTTTTTTTTTTTTTTGTTATATAGAACACAAAAATTGGAATTGTTTTCTTTTCTCTCTCTCTCTCTCGATCTACTTAATTTGATTGCAATTGGTTGAATAAGATCGTGAATCAAATGGGATCAGTTGGATAGATCTCTACTTTTTATCTCTTAATGAAATGGTTTACTTTGACCACATTGTTGAATTATATTTATAAACTCAACTGGGGATCTCATGTAAACTTTATCTACGGAGTATATTTAATAGAAATTTATAAGAGTCTAGTGACTCCATCTGGTTGTTACTTTTTAGTGTATTCTTTTTGAATTTGTTATTTGCCACTTTATGAATTGTTAAAATGTACATATAACAGGAAAATGTGAAAGGGTTGAACCCAGGATTGATTGTCTTGCTTGTTGTTGGCGGATTGCTGTTGACATTCCTGGTTGGCAATTATTTCCTCTACATGTATGCACAGAAAACCCTTCCTCCCAGGAAAAAGAAGCCAATCTCCAAAAAGAAACTGAAGAAGGAGAAACTGAAGCAAGGGGTTTCAGCACCAGGAGAATAGACATTTTGTACGCTACATACTTATCCCTTTCGTATTCAGCTGTTGTGTTAAAGACATTGTCTTCCTGTTGTATTTTGGCCAGAAGTTTTAGTTTCAGAGTTAGAAATTACCTTCATGTTCTGTTCTGCTAGTTGACCGGAAAGAACGCTTGTTGGTCTCTTCATTTTCCTTTTGCTGGGTTAACTCTTCTTACCTTGTATCACCACCTACTGATTGCCTCTTTTGAATTAGCATATTAGAAACACAAATAATACATCATTTTGCTTCTCACACATTCTTAGTCAAGTTAGAAATTATGAGCACTAAATGGCACATTATGGAGAAATTTTTACTTGGTCCCTACCAATCACAACTTAATTTCTATAAAATATTTTACATCGAAATATATCGAGCCTTAGTAATCTAGATTTGTTGCCTGCTAGCACTAATTAGTTAAACTTGCCATTTCCAAGATCTACCAAACATTCAGTACTGAAGAACCAGTTACATGAGGACGACATGCCCAAACAGGCATTGCCAATGCAAGAATAACATGATTCAATAAATAGCTTTATTTTGCTTTCGGAGTTTCTTTCTAAAAACGAAAAGAACTTCTTTTCATAGACTGTCTTCATTTCCATAGCAACTTATTTATACATGATTCAGAACCGAGTGACAGGTCTTCAAGAACAGTTCAGAAAGTAGTACAGTTAAACATAGTTTAGAATATTATATCATATACATCACACAAGTATAGGTAGGTTACGATCTGCATGCTAATGGAGAATATTCTCAGGCTCCCCCACGACCCATGGACTGCTCTCCAGGAGGGATCATAACCAAGACTGGTTGAGCGTTAAATCCAGGATGAGGAAGCCTACGACGGAGCTCGCGACCTTCCTGGCAAAGGGCACATGGATGGCAGAAAATATGAGTTGCAAAGTCGCAAAGCGACTCACATTGCTCACGTTGCGCCTCATCCTCCACAAAGCTTCCACAGCACCCACAAGTTTTGGCAAGTTCCTCACAGCTACCCTGTTTTGTTTCAAGTAAAACATTAAAATAAGTCCAAAAATAGAAAGAACTCTAAGATTAAGACACGCTTCATTGATCTAGTAGAAAGGAAAAAAGCTGAGTAGCTAATGTGGTAACCAAGTGAAGCCCACCGCAGTGCCCTTCATAACGTAAAAGATGCCAAAAAGCATCCAAATAAAATAATAGAAGATCAAATCTCAGTTGGGCGACCTATAGGACGTGAACGGAAGGCCCAAAAAGGTGAAAGATGGTAATTAAGTTCGTTCCAGGCTGTAACACAGATCAGAGAAACACAAACTATGGTAAGAACATGGTCTAAGACCCATGCTTCAACTAAAAATGTGATAATGTGGGATATCTGATATAGAGGATTGCATACTCATTAATACTAATGTTACCATATGATAGTAGTACATATTATGCTCACTTCCATAAGTTGATTAAGTATACTTTTTTTTCAGGGTACAGTTCAACTCACACAAATAGGTTTCAATAAGGATGTGTCATCCTCTCCAGTTAACTATCAAGGGTTTATGACCAATAGCACTGAAAACTGAACATAAATGACCAATGGCCCTAGAGTTTTTGGAATTAAAGTTTCTCATCTATGAATGCATCCATTCAAAATTGAGCTTGACGTCATGAGAAAAAGAAGAAGAATGAAAGAAATAGCAAATGATGACCTCAAAATAATAACCTTTGGAATAATTAGCAATTCAAATTTCGTATAAGTGGCAAATTAACAAACAACCATTGGGATTATGTTGTTTCAGACTGATATAGTTTCATTACTGTCATAAACAACAAACATGGAGCAAATGCACAGCAGAAAAATCAAGGGACTCCGCCAGCTGTGGATGTAGGCTATGCTATAAGAAACAAAGTTTTAAACTATGGACTCAGTATTCTAACTTAACAATACATCACTGTTTTTGAAACTAAACCACAAAGGAAGCACTCAGAAAATAAGAAAACATGATCTACTACACAAATGATTAACATAATATAAAGTGTAATAACATCAGATAGAGCACAGAAGCATTTCATGATGAGGAGAAAAAACCTATGCAACATAAGGGAATATGGAAGAGAACAAGGGCAAAAGAAAGTTGGACAATTAAGCAGTGTAACATGAAGAACAAGTCAGGTCAGGTAAGAAAACGCTTAACATTAAAAACACAAAAGGGATGTCAGATCACATGAGGTGGGGAAGAGATCAGAGCTTGGAAATGGATCAAAATAACTTGCCTCTAGGTTGAACTTTCGGCGAATGGCTGTACGGCTAGGAAAGGAGAACCAGGGTGCCAGGCAGTTGCAGCCAAAAAGGGAATTCCCAATCAGATACATACCAGAATAAGGCAAGCAGTGATTTGCAAAAGTACCCGGCCCAGATCCGAGTCTCTCAACATTGCTTCCATAAAGCACACATGGAGCAACACTTCCAACGAGACCTACCAAATATCAAGGTTGTCAAGAGGAAAATAAGATGAGAAGTATATGCAGAAGAGTAATCAAAATGATGGCACCCAGAAGTAATGTAGTGAGAGGCTGGGAAATAACAACCCATCTAACTATTTAAAATTGTATCAATTGAATCGACCTTAGGAAATTCACACTGCAGTTACAAGCTCCCTACAAAAGCTACTACAGAACCAAAAATGTGGAACAAGTCTGCAAACTAAAAGGGGGTCCACCACATGGAAAAATAAACATTGATCAATTTGAGTTCTTCAAGTTTGAACCCAATCATATCCAAAACAGTAACTTGGTAGACCGGCAATAAGAGATCAAAATAAACAAAGACCCAAGAATTTGGGCTTCTCAATTGCTTCCTAGTTCCATATAACCCAGAAAATGGTTCCTTGGAAATGCATGGAATCAACTGCTCTTCCATACATTGATCACCGCACTATAATATTTTTTATCCTATTGATCAAATGCATCGTAAATAGTAATAACCTCAGAACAAAGAATCAATCCAATCTAGATATATCATTAGGGTCTTATCACATTCAAAAACATCTTTGAGAATTCAATCAAATAGAAGATGATCAACGAATTTCATATCAATTATTCGATCAATATATGTATGTTTTACAACACAAAAATCAACAATGATCAATAAAATCTTAAAATAATACAAATCCCATCAATGAAGAAACATGCAATGGATCAAACTCAAGACATTAACGAAAGCAAATGGAAAAAAAATAAATAAAAAGAAAAAAAGGAAGAAAGAAAGACTCACAAACTTCAACATCGCTGCTACAGAACTCATCGTTGCGGCCGAGACAAGCAAAGAGACTGGAGTCCCACTGATCCCGACGCAACGGCTCACCGCCCAGGCCACCGTGGCCCAAGGGCAATCCGTCCGCGGTCCAGCCAAAGGGAACTCCGGCAGGTCCATGCGGCAAAGGAGAAGATTTCACCAGCTCATCTTGGTGAGGAGTGGTGGTGGGAACGGTGGTGGGTTTCTTTTGATCGTCCACCTGCGGTTGGTTGGGCAGAAGGGGATTCGATTCCTCGGGATTCGCCATGAAAACGAAGAATGAACCAAAACCCCCAGAGAGAGAAGGTGAATGTGGGAATTCTAGAAAATGAGGTTGCGAAAGTAGACAGATGTGAAATGGAGTCTGTGGATAGAGGGAGAAGAGGTCAATTGTACCCAACAAAACCGTGTCGAATGCTTTGGCGTACCTGTGTATTTTGGGGGAGGGAACACCTATTTTTTGATGCGCTGCTAATTCTGTGGATTGTCAATAACAAGGCCACTCGATTTATTTGCTATTTGTGTTATAACATCAAATCGTCTATTAATTTGACCTCCTCGTAATTTGGGGTGTATGTTCAGCAACATTTTATTTATTTATTTTTTTTAAAAAAATTTGTTAGTCAAATTTATAAAATGATATTTTTATTATTCACTTTTATCTAACAAATGAGTTTATAAAAAGTTAAAGTAATGAGAGATTGGTGTGATTTACTCTTTTAAAAAAAATTATATTAGGCTACGTTTGTTGTGTAAGAATGGAATGAAATGCAGCTTGGAATGGAATGGAATGTAGCTCGGAATAGAATGAGAATGAGAATGGAATGAAATGAAATGGAATGAGAATATTATTCCATTGTTTGATGTGACACGGTGAATTATTATAGAATGAAATGATTATTACCATTTTATTGTTTGGTTGACCATCATTATAATAATTTTTCTCAAAAATATCCTTTTCATTATCTTACATTACTTTTTAATAAAATCAATTTAATTAATATTTTGACGATAATTATGGAATGTTATAAGATGCCCAATACTGCCATTGAAAAAAATAAAAAAAAAAACCTTAAAATAAGATGATTGTTAATTTTTATTTTATATTATCATTGTTCCATATATAAATGTTTGCAATTTGGTTAAAGATCCTGTAACTTTTTGTCAATGACAACCTTAAGTATATTCAGAAGGGAGGAAAGGTGAAAAATCTTTACTATGTCTAATAAAGAAGTTAAAAAATGGAATGTGAAATATTTTTTTTTGTCTATACATAATATTTTTGTCTTATTGGAATGTGATGAATGACTTATTGGGAATATTATAAAAATATTTAACCTTATTATGGAATAGAATGGTCATTCCATAGATTTAGTAATGGAATGAAATTTCATTCCCTGTAATGAATTTTCTTTCCAATGGAATGGTCATTTCATTCCATTTATGCACATCAAATAAATGAATAATTGGAATGAACATTCTATTCCTGCACACCAAACATAGCATTAGTGAATAAATAAGGAGAGCTTTGTGAATTCATTCGTCCATGTACTCTATTTAGCAAATCCAAACAAATCTTTAGCCTTTTTTTCAGTCCATATATATATATATATATATATATATATATATATATATATATATATATATTTCAGTGCATACTTGGTCCACGTAAGGTTGTAACAGGTTTCCTACATGTAGACAATTTTATAGCCGGAAGTTAAGGAAATCAAGGTGCAAGAAAACATTGGCAAATGGTGGAGACCGTTTCTATTAATGCTGAAATTGATAGATTTAATTAAAATCATAACAATTTCAACAATCCCGGTCCACAAAAGTTATGGTTTGAATACTATATATCAACAAAATGACGTAGAATTATTGGATTTTCACACCAGGCACATGGAAATTGTGCTATTTCCACAAAACCCCAGCTATATATATATATATATATATATATATATATTCCTTCTTTTCAAATGCAAGAGAAACTTTACATACTTGTTTTGTGGCAATTGAGACTTAAAATATAATAATATCCTCTTTTAAAAGTTGAAGATGGAGGAGATGTCAATGGAGTTCTTTATTTTTGTTTTTAATTGTACGATAATCTCATGTTAGTTTATATGCTATTGTCATTTTAAGAGTCGAATTCTCAATGTGTTTAAGAAACAATTTTAATACGTGTAAGAACTAAGTCTTCCGATTTTAAGATATCTATTAAGTATTAAATCAAAATAATTATGTAAAAATAAATATGTACTGGATTGATTATTAATTCACATTTACATTTACATCTAAAGAATCCTTAATATACATTTTAAACATACAAATGGAGTAAAACCGATCACCCATGTATCTCCTCTGCCTTTTAAAATTGTAGATTGGGGATTTAAGAAGTGCGAGGGTTACAATTTGCCACCATCGCGATCATGACAAAAATATAAAATAAAATAAATAAATAGTAAACTGGTAACTTTATACATAAAATCAGTGGTGAAATTGGTAACTTCACCAACACAAATGCAATGGTTGTATGTGATTTTTTAGTTATATGTTTCTGTCATGATGCAAGTGCACATTTGGTGCACATGCACAATATCATGACTGAACTGCCTCTCTAATCATCCAATTCGATTCCATTTCAGGGAGGAAAAAAAATATAGAAATTAGTTTCTTCACACTGAAGTGGAAAAAAATAGAGATCGAGTTGGTTCTGATGAACAATGAACCAAAAAAAAAGTTTTGAGTTTTTTTTTTTTTAATTCAACGATTCCTGTTGGAATAAAATTCAGAAAAACAAGAAAAGCAAGCATGTCGAGACATTGGAGTGAGAAAAAAGTGTTAATTCTTAACTTCTAGCTAAATATGAAAAATAAATAAATATCTTTATATTAAGATCCGTCTGATTCAGTTCAAATTCCAATTTACACCCCCAAATATGCTGATTCATGTGACCTGTGTTATGCAGAGGAGTTTTGGTAATGAAAATGGTAATCAAAGCTAAGACATTGTCCAACAAATGTATAATAATATATTTCACAGTTACAACCTTTAAAATGCAAACACGTTCCAACAATCCTCGTTTATACAAGTTGATAGATGATAAAAATAAAAAATAAAAATAAAAATTCAACAACTGAAACTATTCACTGATCGCATTTCTTTTCAATCAATACACAACATTTTTCTATTAGAAAGAAAGGAACTTGAATGAACCTCTAGTAATATAACTTCAACCAAAATAGTAAAAACACTCCATTTCTAAAACTTCAACCAAAATAGTAAAACACTCCATTTCCAAAACTTCTTTATCCATGAATTTTCTTCATCTGCAAAAAAAATAAATACAACTACTAATTATATTCACTTCCAAATTCCAAGATCTAATTGAACAGTGATTTGTGACATATTATAATTTGTTCTCTGCTAAAAATCAAAATGTAACCTGAACAAAAAAAATGAAGAACAAATTTCGGGTAGGGTCTTACATTTCCTCCTGCATTACCAGCTCCAGAACCATTGGCTTTGTGCTGCACATTGACACTTTCTCCATGAATATTACCACCGGATCGATTTGGTGGTGGAATAGATGAATGTGTCTCTGGACCTCTATAATCTATATCATAAATCCCTGAATCCACATTAGACACATCCAGTGCCCCTGTTAAAATAAATAAAAAAATAAAAATAAAAAAATAAAAAAAAAAACACACACACACATTGACCGTGTTATATACTCTAGTCACAAAATTAAGTTCTGTAACCTTCCGAGGAAAAAAAAATGAAGTTATAAAGTCAAGAAATTGAGAGACGGAGGATAGAACTTACTAGGGTATAAGCCTCTCGAAAAACATGGGGTTGTGAGGAGGAAGAAGAGAAGAATTATAGGTGTGATGGTAGGCTTGAGCTCCATATATGACATTCAAAGCTGAGCACAAGCTATATACTACTACTACTACTTTTGATGGTGTATGGAGTAAAGAAGAGTTAGAGAAGAAGCATATATGACAAATAAGTGAAGATAAAGCTCAGCTTTTCAAATTGAAACCATCACCATCCACACTTCAACTAGTTGGAAGCTATGGATGGGGATGTGTATCATGTGTTGGTTTGGAACATACATTTATGCAGTGTAACCATACATGAACTATATGGAATTAATTTTTCCCTTTTTAAAATTTTATTTATTTAATATTATTTGGACAGTCCCATGTGAGTATTATTGAAAATGTCCTAGAGAGACATCCCCATTAGCACCTTGCCTGGACTTCACACCACTCACAGCTACCCTCTTTTCCTTCTGTTTCTTTCAATCACCAAACTCTTTAAAATCATAATTTCTCAAGTACACCATGCCAGAACATCTTTTGGAGGACTTATGTCTATCATGTTATGGAATTTTTTTTACTATTTTTTACTTATTTTGTTGGGGGACAACGGGCACGTAGACTTCCTTATAGACTGTTGTAACATATCAGAATCTGAAATTAAATGGAGTACTGCTGGATCGTTGGCTACAAAAGAAGTCCGGGAGGCCGGATCACACATCATGAAGAGGAGGAAGTCACTGGTTTGACCATCCCAATAGACTCCCATGGGACTTTTCTGGACTAATATTCCAGTAATTAATGTATTTTGAGACGTGTTCATGTACCTAGGAATTTCACACTAAAATGAGCTAAGTTAACAGGAATTTTCACTAGTGATAACAAGTTCACTAATTAATTTTGGGTAATCTGTTGATTTCTTATCTATGAGAAGAATCCACACAGATGATGGCAATATGCTTTACATATTTATTCTTCATTAAGATGAAATCTGATAATGCAATGATTCCTAGTATTCTAGCATATGTAGTCATTTTAGAAATTTTTTTTTTTTTTTAGGGCAAGTGCTTTAATTGTAGTTTATTTTAAAATTAATGAAATGAGGAAAGAAACAAATATTGAAATTGATGTATATGATATTTTGTGATTGCAAATTTCACATTGAAATTGAGTAGAAGATGGGAGGGAAGAAGAAAAGAAGAGAAAATAGTGATGGTCCACCTCATGTTCATCTTATAATATGTTAAAAAGTAAAGAAGATTTGAAAAATTATACTCTACTAGAATAATAAATTCACCTAGAGAACAAGACATGATAAAACTTACGTCATTTTCAAGTTCATATTATTAGGAAGGGGGCTCAAATGATATATGTGGTGTATTCAAGCAGCGGTGGTTTGGTGCACGTTGCACTCGCAGATGGACATCTTGCGGTATCGTCCGTCCAACATCATCAGTCCGTGTGAAGAATCGACTGATTTACGAGTTTAAAGGTAGTACCCTTTTGTTCTGTGAGCCTCATTTGTGATTTCAAATAATCATTCATGGTTTTTAATAGGCATTGTGTTAGGTTTTTCTCTTAGCCCGAATTTATATGGGAAATGAATTTGACGTATAAAGGTGGATATATATATATATATATATATATATATATTAATCCGTCATTATAAGTGATGTCAAAGTTAAACTCAATTCTTGATCCAATATTATGTTAAATTTTTACTGTTATGAAAAAAAGTATCGAATAGGAGTTTATGAGAATAAGAAAAAAATAATGACAATAAAAAAAAAATAGGCACACATACAAACGAGATAAGAATTTACGTGGTTCGGCTATACCTACATCCACGGGGAGAAGACAAAACAATATTTCACTATGAAAATAAAGAAATACAAGGCAAAGTGACTCACACCCAAAACCCAATTATACCCAAACTCTCTCACCTACTAACTGATATTACAAACTCACTCAATTGATTTGGGATGCTTCAACACCATGGAAGGCAAGGCTATTTATAGCCAAAATAGGACACCAAAATGAAGCTACTTGGTGACCACTCAAAAGACTTGCTGGGCACACATTCTTGGAGGCCAAGAATAAAGCTTGATGAACATACTTGGAGGCCAAGAAGATGATGTCATGAGTGATGCAAGCCTCAAATTGAGCCACATGTTCAACAAATTTCCATCTTGGCGAAAATTCAAATGAGCCATTGTATCTCTGCAAAACAAACTGTCTTCTCCACAAAACAAATTAATTAAGAATTTTAGTTAAGTTTGAGTCATCCTCAAACTTAACCCTCGGGCTCTCATTCTTCAACCCAAGCATGTCTTGCGCAGCCACAAGCATACCTCTAGTATTTGTGTCAAACTCTAAATGTTTTCCAAAAGCAATCTCAGAAATTCCAAGTTTGACATCTCCTCAGCAACCTTCTCCAACCGCCCACAAACCACCGGCTAGTAATAAAAAGTCATCTTCTCACCCTTGTGGAGAACAGGACGTCCTTGATTTTTCCTCGCATCTCTGTTGTAACCAACTACTTGCCTCCCATGCATCTTAATGGCACTCGAATGGACTATCTCATTGCCACCAAGATTATTGCAAGTCAATATCACACATGTCCTAATGGGTCTGCCTCCCTGTAAGGACTGCTGCAATTTCAGTTGCCATCTGAAAACGGATTTCATTCTCCCACCACGTTATGTAGTCCCCTCACAACCCTTTTAAGAACTAGGATCGTAACTCCTCTCTCAAACACTTCTTTTGCCAAGACCCGAACGCAGATTCCTGCTAACTGTAGAAGACCCTATAGAAGCTCCACCTGTTACTGTATTCCCTTGGAGAAGATACAAATTTCTCTCCTTGGTGCCCTGTAGCACTACAAGAGAATCCATCACGACCATCATTGTTCTACCCTCTGTTACAACCTTGTAACCTTTGGAGTATAGCACACCCACTGAAATAAGATTCATCTTCAGATCCAATACATATCGCACATCTGACAATGTTCTCACCAACCCATTGTGCGTTTTGATCTTGATTGTTCCAATTCCCAAAATTTTAAAAGCTTTCCTATCTGCCGTCAAAATCGAACCACCTTTCACCTTTTTATAGGAAGAGAAAGAATTCCTACTGGGACACATATGAATAGAGCAACCAGAATCAAGAATCCAACTGTCATTAAATGACATACCTGAACACGAGATTGTCATGAGAACATATTCATCACTTTCCAAATCACTCGTTGTAGCAGTTGCCACAGAAGCTGTTTCTTGAACCTTTTCTTTGCAATTCCCATTCTTTGCCTTTAGTTTGGGACAATGCTTGATGATGTGCCCTATCTCGTGACAGTAGTAACATTCCACATTTTTATGAGATCTAGATTTGCCTCTACTAGCAGAACCCTTTGTCCCACCTTTGCCTCTTACAAATAGACCCTCGGCCTGTTCATCTCCAATATTCTCAGACACCTTTTTTCTCAACTCCTGAGAGTTTAATGAGGATTTAACACCCTCTATACTAATAGTGTCTTTTCCATAGAGCAATGTGGTAACAAAATGCTCATAGGAAAGAGGCAAGGAACACAACAAAATAAGAGCTGATCTTCATCATCAATTTTAATATCAGTATTTTTCAAATCCATAATAATAGAATTGAAATTATCAATATGCTCCTTAAGAGGCATACCTTCCTTCATACGAAGGGTGTAGAGTCTTTGTTTTAGGTAGAGTCTGTTGATGAGAGATTTCGTCATATACAGACTTTCTAATTTCAGCCATAACTTTGCCGCCATGTCTTTATCAATAACTTCACGCAGCACCTCATCAGCTAGATTCAGAATAATCGTACTACACGCCTTTTCATCAACCTCATCCTTGTCTTTATCGGACATAGTTGTTGGTAACTTGTCCTTTCCGAACAACACCTTCTTTAGACCTTGCTGAGTCTGCAGGGCCTGCATCTTAATGCGCCAAAGACTGAAGCTAATTTTGCCATCAAATTTCTCAATCTTGTATCTGGTCGACATCTCAAAAAAACTCCCCAAAAAATTACTCGGTGAATAGTACCGTATTTGTGAACAGTACCCAAATATTATGTGTGAACAGTATCTGTACACAATACACGAACCCGAGCTTCAATACCAGTTTGTTATGAAAAAAAGATCAAATAGGAGTTTATGAGAATAAGAAAAAAATAATGACAAGAAAAAATAAAAATAAAAAAATAGGCACACACACAAACGAGACAAGAATTTACATGGTTCGGCTATGCCTACATCCACGGGTAGAAGACATAACAATATTTCACTATAAAAATAAAAAGATACAAGGCAAAGTGGCTCACACCCAAAACCCAATTACACCCAAACTTTCTCACCCACTAATTGATATTACAAACTCACTCAATTGATTTGGGATGTTTCAACACCATGGAGGGCAAGGCTATTTATAGCCAAAATGGGACACCAAAATGAGGCTATTTGGTGACCACTCAAAAGACTTGTTGGACACACAATCTTGGAGGCCAAGAATAAAACTTGATGAACACATATACTTGAAGGCCAAGAAGATGATGTCATGGATGATGCAAGCCTCAAATTGAGCCACATGTTCAACATTTACCCAGGACTCAATTAATCGCATTGCACGTTGAGATGATAATTGGCCGAACAATTTGGAAAATATTTAAAGTGATGGTAGTATATTCTAACATCATAATAAAAATAAAATGTAATACATGGGATCGTGTGCTGGAATAATGCAGTCGGTCGGCCCACCACTAAGTTCTGTCTCCTTATCTGATGGAAAGTAAGCATCGGAGGAAGGAAATACTGTAGAACCCAATTAACAATTGATACTGCATTGAAGTGAATTTATATATTTAGCTTGTACATGCAGCTGACAACTGGGCAAAGAAAAAATAATAATAAATAAATAAAGGTAAGGGCGTTTTCCAATGTGGTTTATTCCATTCAAAATCAAGACTTGTCATTTAATTAACTCGTTGGAATTAAATATGACAATTGATATTACCACTCCATCAATATATTCATCTTTTTTTTCTTTTCTTTTATTTTTTGTTTAAAATGAATTAACAAAAGAGTTATATTTTTAATGTCACAATTGTCCTTCTCTTGAACATTTACCATAAAAAGTAGTCACATAATATAGGTATTTTTTTTTTTTTTTCAAAGAATCAAAATAAAATATAGGGAGTTTACCTTTACTATTTTTACGTGATTAGAAAAAAAGTATTTGAATTAGAAGCACATTTTATCTCAATGAATTTAACCTAGTGCATTACATAAACACATTAAATTGAAATTTGAAACCAAACAAATCTCTACAGTAATTTTTAATTGATCTTTTTCTTCCTCTCTCTCTCTTTCCTTGACATGTATATTTAATAATTCAAAATATAAAATAGCCTAATTTTAGTTAAATAGAAATAACATGAACGCAAATCAATAGATACCTAATCTTTAATTGATTTTTTTCCTTTTTTAAAAAGATATCTTTAATTGAATTGAAAATAAAGAGAAACCTAATTTACATAAATTGAAATTACTTCGTTCATTAAGCATGTAAAAAAAACCCCGCATGGTAGCTCAGCTGGTCAGGCCTTGAGTTTGCTCTCCAATGGTTACCCATTCGAGTCTCCTTAGGCCACTGGAGGCTTGCCCGGTCATTAACTTCAAGATCTCGTAGAATTAATAAAAATGCACGCAAACTGACCCGAACACTCACGATTGTCAAAAAAATAATAATAATAAGCATGTAAAAAAATTATATAATATAATGTACATATATTTACCTTGTATGTATATATTATTCCTCTTCATCCTTAGACTAATCAATATTATTAAGATTATATTCTAATTTATTGTAATTTCATTTTTAAAAAATTGAAAATAAAGCATCTTAATATATTAATGGAGCGCTAATATCAGCTCCCTTAAACATTTACATGTGTATATACACTAAGGCGGAACTAGCTAAGACTTAGAGGCACGTGCCCCCAAGCTGGCTTCTTAGCTTATATAAGTATTTTAGCTAAGACTTAGAGGCACGTGCCCCCAAGCTGGCTCCTTAGCTTATATAAGTATTTTTTTTCTTTCTATTTTTCCTTTGCCCTACTTTTATGCATACGTTATTTTAAAATTGACCCCCCTAAAATTATCAATTCTAAAAATCTTTCATTCATCTTTTATTCTTCTTCTTTTTCTTTTAATTTCTTTTATTTTTTTCAAAATATTTTTCTTTCTTTTTCTCCAGACACACACTTATTTTTTTCCCACCAAAGTTATCTCATTTCCATTTTGTTTTCTTCCATTTTTTTTTTTCCTCTTCTTAAAATTTAATCTTCTTGCACTCGTTTATAACATTTTTCTCTCTTCTTCTTTAAATTTATTACTATAATTTTATGATTTTAATGTTCATATTTTATGTTTTTGAATTTTTTTATTGCATTTTTTTAGTTGTTGCAAATAACAACATACATAATACTTTGAAATTTCAACCTGTTGTCTTGAAGCACTGCTAGTTGGCATGTTAATTGAGATATATATATATATATATATATATATATACACACACCTAAGTTATTAATGTGACATCTTATGCCTCTCAATCGTCCTTATCGGAGTTTAAAGGAAGACCACATACCCATATGGGAACCATAAATGGGGCTGTCCTATGTCTTGTAGTTGGGTCCGACATCAACAGTAATGCCATGGTTGGATGGTCATATGGGTCTTCCTAAATTGTATGGCCAGCTATTACCTGTCTTTGTGCACTCACAACTATTACAATATTCTTGTAGCACTGCTAGTTGGCATGTTAATGGACTAGGTTATGAATGTCAGACACGAGTATCTATTTAGACATTAAATGCATCAAATTTTCAAATAGAAGAACATACAAATATAATTAAGTATTTATTTTATTTTATTTTTTAAAGTAAAATAATATTTGAAATAATTACACTTATTTTTCTTTAGGTTAAGAATAATTATAGCCGTATTTCTTACGTTTCAAAAATTATACTGACTTACCTCCAAACTAATCCGCATTTTATTTCTGCCTTTGACCATGTTAACCCTCTAATATTTTATTAATCACATAAAGACTGCGAAATACAGGGTTAAAAAGAAAAAAAAAAAAAACAATACCCAATTTATTGAGATATTACACTACAAATCAAAGGCTGCGATACCCAATTTAGGGTTAGATTGCCGTCTGAAGGCCATAATATAGGGATCTGAGTCTGATCAAGAGCAGGTGGCGGCGAAGGTGACGAAGGCTTGTCGGCAGGAACGTCATTGGAGGAGGATGAAGAGGCAAAAGAGGCGGAGGAGAAGAAATCGTCATCTGAAGGCGGAGGCTAGAAGAAATCGTCATCGGGTTCGCCGTTCGCATGCTTCAGCCGCTGTCTCTCAACTCTCTGCAACTGCAAAATTCAGTTTCCATCGGCCGCTGTTCCAGTTCGGGTTCGCCGTTCGCATGTTTCAGCCACTGTCTCTCAATTGTCAAGCTTGCCCCCCCTCTCTCTGCAACTGCTAACTTGTATGTATGGGTTTTTTTATTTTTTAGTTTTGTAAATCAACTAATCAAGATCTGTGATTCTGAAGAATCTTGGGCGAATTTGTGGGTGAATGAAAAACAACCTAAGAAAGGTAGGAAAAAATAATTAAAAGCGAAGCTACAAATTAAGAATTGAGAAGGCAGATGAATGCCTGGGTGAGATTTTAAGTATATATTTTGATGAGATTGCAAAAGCAGCGGAGAAGCCCAAGTCAGGAAGATAATTATCAAAGCTAAGTTGTGTTCTGAATGATTGGCATATTATTTCAGATTGTTTAAAAAAATCAAAACCCATATCTTTCAGTTTGGGTTCGCGGTTCGCGGTTCGCATGCTTCAACTGCCATCTCTCAACTCTCCGCAACTACAAAAATCAACAAAGCAAAAGGTAAATTGAAGAGAAAGTGAAACCAAGAGTGAAAAATCAATAAAGCAGATTTTAAGTAAGGGCAAATGTGGTATTACAGGGTTAAAAATAACTGACGTCATCAAAAAATCATTGACCGGCATTGACTTTCACCGAAGAGAGTTAAGTGTTACAACGGAGCAAACCTTGAGGGAGGATAGTATAATTTTTGAAACGTAAGGAATATCGCCTGTAATTACGCCTAACTTCAAGGGAGATAAGTGTAATTATCCCAATAATATTTTTATGTAATGTAATATTCAATATAGGTATTTATCCATGCATTGGACGTGTCAAATCTCCAAATAGAAGGACACACGGATACAGTTAAATATTCATTTTATTAATTATTTTATTTTATTTTATAAAGTAAAATAATTTTTTTATTAATAATATAATGTAATTGAATGATTGGATATATTTTTTAAATACATGTCCAACCAAAGGTGTCAGACACATATTCCATATCCATGTCCGAGAGATATGTATTCGACGCTACTTTTGAAGAGTCTATGTAACGTAACTCACTTCTTACCTTCTAATCCCAATTTTAAATTAATAGGATATTTCTAGTTATTTTGATTTGAATTAAAGAGAAAAGAATACGATTTTATATTTGAGAGTATCGAATTAGTGATTTGAATATTAAAGAAAATTTAGTTAAAATTTAAAATTGAATTTGTTCTAATTTTAAATTCAATGCAATAATTTGGTACTTTCAAACACAACAGAGTTTTATTAATTAAATGGTTAAGTGTAAAAAATCGTCCTAAATTATTACCCTTTTGTAAATAACTCCCCTGAACTAAAAACTGCTCCCATGAACTATTGATTTGTTAGACAAATCCATCACAAAAGACTATTTTATCCTTTATCATTAAAATTTTCATTTCTTATTAAATTATTTTTATTATCTTTTCTCGTATGTAAATATTAATTATACTATTTACTTTAATTTTATTATTAATATCAATTTATCATAAAAATGAAATATATATATATATATATATATATATATATATATATAGATAAATAGATTTGTAACTACTATTTTCTAAATTGATTAACTTATTATTAAAACTTTATTATTTATAATAAAATGTATTATAACCAATTCAAACATTTTTATCGTAAAAAAAAAAATCATCTTTTTCATACATAATTTTGAAAAAAAAAAAAAAAATACCTTTTTTCATGTAATATATTCATTAAAAATTAATTAATTTATTTTAAAATTTTCTACAAAAAATTTTATTTAAATAATTAATTTAAAAAATTAAAGGTAAATTTATACAAATTAAATGGATAATATCTCATCAAATTAGTATGATTTTTTTTTTATTTAGATAAGAAAAATATATTAAATGTAATTCAATAAGAAGGGGCATTATGATCATTTAATGAAATATGGTATAATCTTTGGAGTATGTTACAACAAAATGTGATAGTTTAGGAAATTTTATGTATAAAATATAGTTCAATGGAGTTATTTACATATTCAAACGCAATTCAAGAGAGTTTTATGCACTTTACTCTTAATTAAAATAAGAATTTGACATAAGACATGCAGTTTCATTAATTAAAATAAGAATTTGACCATAAGACACCATCATTGCTCCCATATACATGGATAAAGAGTGGTTGTGAGTGAAAATGCTATGTTATTTATAATAGTAATTGCACTATATTTTAAACTTAATTTATTTCTTCTGCAAATCAGTTGTTCCCGACCACTCCAAGGGACCTTTATATAATGGAGCCTACACAGGCGACTTTGAGTAATTAGGTTAAAACTTGTGTTCCATCTTTGTCAGCGGGCTGAACCACATCTTTATCAAATTAGCACCCCGTATTTGGTGGGATAGTCTTCATTTAATCATGGCAGGCAGAGTTGCTAACCGATTCTCAGAAGAAGTAATAGGTATATGTAGAATAATTCTTTTAGGATAATGGTTTAAAGTCAGGATGTCGGGACAAATTTGATTAGTTCATGTGAATGAGGCTGACATAATATTATTATAATAACATTAATATTCATAATATGTTGATAAGATGAATCCTTACATACATAAAATTAATCTAATGCCTCATCATCACTCCTTATATTTGGTTTTTGTCTTAAAAAAATAAATATGTATATATATATCGTTGAACAACCGACAGCGAGCTCTGCGGGGGTGGACCCCACCCTCATGACACGGCTATCAATTGTTTCTTCTATTTCTCACTACATTTTTATTTTTTCTGAACCTGGCAAGAGTAAAATTTCTCCTAACACAGTTTTCATTTTTCATTAATACGACAGCGTTTCTACCCAATCAACACGTCAAAACGCCCCCTTTGGCTTCTTCGCTGGCATGGTCGAGAAAGGTGAAGAAAATCGACAATGAAGGTATCGTATTACCTTCATTTCCTTTTCCTTTTGATATTTGCAATTATTTTTCTTTATCCTTTTTAAATCAATCACATTATATTATCACCCATCAATGCTGTGTTCTTTTTTTTGGGAAATTTATTGTATTTCATGATCTACAACTACATGTTGAAGATGTGGGTTCCATTCATTCAATTGTTTCATAACATTTCTGTTTCGTTTTATTACAATAATTATTAAATAAGTTGGCTATATTATCTATTGAAAATGATATATAAGAAAAAGTTGAATGCAAAAAAAATTTTAATTAGCAATATTGTAAAGAATAATGATTTTTAAGTAGAAATTATTAATGTATTTTATATCAATTGGCCATGCTTTGAGTTTTCATCTTTGGCTTTTGAATTGCATTGAGTTGGCCCTATATGTTATGTTGGAAAGAAAGCTGGAGCTTTTAAATTTGGTTTCTTCTTGAATCTTATAACTTGAGTCATGAACTTTGGTTCGGCGACCAATTCAAGGTGGTTGATAGTTAATATTTTTATCTAAATTTATTCCTAAAAAATTAGTGGCTTCAACTTGGTAAATCTTACTGAAGAGGTGTTGCCAATTTGCTTATGAAATGACAGTATGTTATGGTAATTATGTAATGTCACTGTAGACATGCAAAAAAGTTGTTATATTGAGTTCATCTTTCTTTAATAATTATCCCTCTGCACGGAAATATCATTCCAATTAGTGATGATATTGAATTTAGACAAGGTTAACACTTCATGATCCACTCTAAAATCTTTCTAGGAAGATCTGTATGCTTCAGCTTTGCTTAAAATATAAATGATGTTTCATTTCTCTGTGCCATAGGTCATTCAGATATTAACTTCCATAGCTCACTCATCTAAGGTTATGTAATTTTCATAGTGGCACTAAGTGTACTATCACTAAGTAGGCTCCTGTGAAATTAATTACAAGATACTCCCTCCCCTTGTTGAAGCTGCCTGAACCTCATACATCTCGTTAACGACCACAAGTAAGTAGTCTTTAACTCAACTCAATGAAGTGTTGTCCCAAAAGTTTTGAGGTCCGCTAGATAAATCTTGTTTTGCAATTATGCTCTGTATAAATTCATACTTACAGTCAAGCCACTCATTGTCCGGTTGCCAGCCTTCCAGTATTAACTATAGAGATGCACTAACATACCGCATTGTGACAACAAGCTGGTTTGAAAGACTGAAGTTTGAAATCTGATACGTAAGTAGATCAGGACCTTTGGAAACATTTTTCAAAGCCATATAATTGATCAAAGGTAACAATTTCCCAGAACTGCCTTGGTAATATTATTACTGCAACAATTCTAGGAATTCTAAGAAGTGAGGAGTTATATGTATCAGATCCAGGGGCCTTATTGTCTCCTGCAAACATAGAAGCCTTCATTTACTTTGTAAAGATATCAAGTGATCATCCTCTTTCAATGATGAACCATTTTAAGCAATAATTGAATTGGACATAAACTTGATGCATTATCATTTTGTTGATTAAGGACACCATGGAAGCATTCTGCAGTTTCTTAAATCTTTTCTTTCATGGGTACAATTTTTTACCAAGGAAGCGAACAAGATCTAGCCTCTAAACGCTGTTCTCGAGTTTGTAGGATTGACAAATTAGATCCATTATAAACCAAGGGGAATCATTAATGAGGAAACAATGGATGGATGATTTGAACAATGGATTAAAGAAGAAGATGGTAACTTTAGGTTTCCAAATTTTTCTAAGAGTATAATGAAATTTTTTGGTCAAATTCTAACTAACTCCTGCAGATATAATGAATTTTGTCATTGTTGACAAGCCTCACTTTAGCTTCCAGATTGCTTATTTACTAAATTATTTCTTAATTTAGCGTTTTACTTCAGCTTTAGGGGGTCATAAGACTCTTACTGTTCAATATAGTAATGTTGATCATTGGGATAAGGGGAATTGACAAAGTCTGAGAGACTCTCCCTTCCTCAGATTTCCCATGGGCTTAATTTTGGCACCAGGTTGTTAGAGTTGTGTCATATGTGGTTGTTTTTGGCTTTGCTTTGAGCTCTTAGAACCTTTTGTGAAGTCCCTTCTATTTTGGACTTTTGATTTAGGTGCTCGACTCTTTGTGTTTATTAGTGTTTCAAACTTTTATGATCTCAATGGGCTTAGTTTTTGCGCCAGCTTGACGCTTGACTTATCACCTACATGCTTGTAAGCCGCTCATAACCTATTTGTCATTTTCTTCCTTTCGCTTGCCAACTAGTAAATGTTGGAAAATATATATACTTCAAATGACATTTAAGATATAACAAATCTTATACTAATATGTCGTGCAATAATTAACAATATGCTAAAAAATGATTAATTAAATATGCAACTCTATATTTAATTAAATATGCAAAATAAAGTAATAAATAATAAATAAAGAACCTGGACCGAGGCTAGTATTGAATCCTATGTCTCAATCCCCCTAAGTCAGATATTGCATAGATCGAGGTATTAAATTGGAGGTGTAACAGTGAAGCAATCTGGATATGGGATATTAAAGACTTAAATCCAAGAGTAGACATGTCTTTAATATTAAAGGTGTAGTCGTATGTTATTTTAAAGAATCAAAGTTAGAAACTTTGAATAAATCAAACAGAAAAGTCAATAGACATAAATTAAAGGACATTTCAAAATAAGTCTACACATGTGTCACTAAAGAAAAAGATATTGTTAACAATAAGCAATTTTATGGCACAAAGTATACAGTTGCTCTTAACTGGAGAAATCTCTGCAGAGTGTAATATTTCTAAACGCAAGCTTGTGACCACATATAAAATAGAGGATTGTACTAGAGAGCAATTGTACAGATCATTGAGCGAAATGTGGTTAAAAGCCGAAAGTTAACGAGTCATCTTAATGGAAACCCAACCTAGCTAACTGGAGATCCCAAGATCTAAGTTCAAAGGGACAACAGAAACTCTAAATGAGTCACCAGAAACACTGGAAAGATATAAATCTTCTACCCATTTATATGATGAGACAATGCTACCTACACTGGGGATTAGAATAAACTACACTTTTAATGACTCTTATACTTTGAAAATTTAAGTGGGGTATGGTAAGATACTCTTAATAAGAAGTCACCTATATGAGTTTCAAGTGGGGCCGCTTCTATGGGAACTATAAAGGCTAACTGTGTGTTTGCTATTGTCCTAGTTTACATCAACGGCTGAACAGTTCAAAACATCACGTTCACTAGTTAGCCAATAAATCCAATAGTAATACACTAAGGAAGGTTCAAGGCCAAAAGTTACCTATCCTGGTGCAGTAACTTTCCGTCTATACTTTCTCTAGTGCCTGCATGATTATCTTTTGCATTTAAGCAACCAATTTCCATTCATGTGGGGGATTGTTAGAATTTGTGAATGAAAATTGTTTGATCAGTCATCAACAGATGCGTTGGACTGAACATGTGTGATCACTGGTTGATTGTGGAATGAAAAAATGTAACTCAGAACCAATAGACATAACCTATTCAATGTGAACCATTGTAACCTATTAGAGTGGGTGCGTCTGGTGATGAACAGACATATATAAATGGTTGTGTCGAGTGATGAAGAGACGCACCTAATCTGAAAAAGCACTTTTACATCTATTAGTACCCCTTTGGGCTGCCATAATTCAATAGTTCAATTCTTTTTTCTTCTTTCCTTCTCTAGACTTTAGCCCAACCCAAGTGGGTTCAAACCATAGGTCAAGTGGTCCAAGCCACTTAGACCCTAATCCAATTTCACCGAGTCATATTAAAATTGGTCCGAACCATTTGGTTTGGATTACACCCAATTATGCATTTATATAGTATATATGCATTTTTAAATAGAGGAGGTTCGATGTTTTTACGAGTTTGTAGTGTTGCTACTGGTGGATGTAAATCGTTGTATCCTGGAAGACAAGTGTCATAAAGTCCATCAGCACCATGTGGGGCGTAAATTGTCTTAAGGACATAGTATTCAATAATAGCCTTGGTCCAGGTTCTTTATTTATTATTTATTAATTTATTACTTTATGTTGCATATTAATTAAATATCGAGTTGCATATTTAATTAATCATTTCTTAGCATAAGATTTGTTATATCTTAAATGTCATTTGAAGCATATATATTTTTCAACAGTAAATTACTCTCAACTAACCTTCTTAGCTAGATTATTTACGGGTGTTTAACTTGCCTTTTTATGATATGATGGTATTGAATGATTTAATTGAGTCCTCATCCTTGGAATACTCTTCTCTCTCTCTCTCTCTCTCACACAACTATTCTCTCATCTCCCTTTGATTCTTGGAATACTCCCCTTTATCTTCTCTTCCTGCTCTTTCCCTCTTGTTTTTCTTTGTCATTATGTGAGAATACTTGACGGTGAAGTGAACAGGTCCATACCATCATAAAAACAAATATGAAGTGCTATAAACTTTGGTGAAAAAATAATAATAATAATAATAAAATATAAAATAAAAACTAGAAATGGAAAAACTTTTGAAAAATACAAAGATGCCAATAAGAAAGTTAAAAGTTGTGATGGAAGCTAAACATAGAACAGACAATCAGCCACGGGTCCCCACGAGGGGCGAATGCCCCCTCTGGAAATTTTTTTTTTTTTTTTTTCATATTACATACTTGATTTTTTTTTTTTAATTTTATACCATGCCCCCCCTGAAATCTCACAAATGCCCCCCCCACTATATTTGTTCCCAAAATATTATTTTATCTCTTTCACACTTGGTTCTCTCATCTCTGTCTCGTGTGCGAATGTATATATGATATATCAGACAATATAGCTTCAGCTTTTAGGCCTTCTGCCTTCGGCAGTTCTTTCCATCATCGACTAGCCCCTACCTCCATCCGGCAATCCATGTCTCTCTCTCACATACACGACACCCACAAACATAGCACCCACTTGCAATTTGTTATCCTAGTTGTTACTAAAAGGCCACCCCCCCCCTGACATAATTTCCTGGGTCCGTCATTGCAGACAATGATCGCTATTGTTAATTAGGTACAAATGATGAGGAGAAAATGTATCTGAGCTTGCTAAATAAGGGAGATGAAAATTATTTTAACAGCAATACATGGAGCTGAAAGGAACTTAAAGAGAAGACAATGACATTTATGATTAGATTTAGCACCACCGAGAGAGAAAGAGAGAAAGAAGAAGAAGAAGAAGAAGAAGGGGGGCCTTAAGTGTGCAAATCATGTTATTAATATGATTGGATTTTTGGATTCATTATGATTTATTGTCAGACGTGCTTTGTGATTGAAGATTTCACATCATATCAGAAAAGTCTCGAAGAGTAAGATATTGAATGTTGCGGGTTGATGCTAGATTGAATACTCTAGATTCATTTCCATACCTTAATGCCATGAGTGAAAAGGATTAGCACATTAGGTTTTGGAACATGGTGTGGGTCATGTATGTTGTTTCAACTGTTCTGTGACTATCCTCATGTCAGCCCACTGACTTGATTTGTCATGTATGATATCATTTGTCCGTCATCATGATAATCCCATAGAAGCTGTTTTTTTGACAAAAAGTTCGTAAAATTCTAATTAACTTTTCATACTTTTGGAGTTAAGTTGATGTATCAAATGCACATCTCTATAATGCATTTCTGCCTAAATGAGACAAACTGCATGACAAAGCTTTAAGTTTTTTTAATGGCTGAGTATACTGCTAAACACTTAGTCAAGAAGAACGCAGTACTGATTTATAGGTTGAGTATAAATCTTTGTTTTACCATCAAAAACACTATCTTCCTGTGTGAAGTTCAGCTTGACAGGATCATGGCTGCAATAAGAGTCCGTTCCATGGAACTCCAATATTTCTTAGTCGTGAATTTTTATTTCATGCCATTCATGTGTAGTTTTCTAATCCAATGAAAGCTTTGCAACCAGTAAGGTCTGAGACACACTGATCATTGTGTAAATCTAAATAATCTGGTGGTCTATCCCCGGATTGTTTTGGTTCCTGCTCCATCCTGGCCTATTTACTCTGAAAATGGCATCTGTTTACCAAGGTCAGTTTTCTGCAACTTCACCTTATTGCAAGAAATAACATTACGCATACATTTCCTAGAGTTTCAAGATATTAATGAAACTATAGTTGTATTTGGTGAAGTTCTTGTACTGTATTGTTGGAACATAGTTGATTGAGAAATATATGAGCTTTTATTTTGAGACAGGACAACAGACATGATTCATGCTCAGTTGTTATCTCTAATCAGTTATCCAATTATTTTTAACGTTGTGCCATTATTGATAAATGGAGATAAAGTTCCAAATAGCTTCATGATGAGATGTCAATCAAACTTTATTTTGATATGAGTTGTTAAGGGTCCTTATAGTAGTTGTATAATGGTTGATGATGGACAAATACTTTGACATTCATCACTCTCTTGTCTTGCAAATTGATTGGCACATATGCATAGGAAATTCAATGAACTTTATCATATTTTAAACCCTTAAAAGTCCAAATACAGGGCATGTAGTTTTTGTCCATGACATACTTATTAAAATTTGATTTTTAACTGCAGAGTTTTATCCATGCAATGCCTATTCTCAAAACTTCTTGAAGCTGGTTGCACAATAATCATTTCTGGCCTTTTTTGTCACTTCTATTTGCTTAGTCTCTCTCTATCTTTTCTCGGAATTGACAATTATAGAGTTCATCAGAGGATGAAATAATCGAAGTGAAAAAGGAAACTCGAAGAAGATTCACTAAAGCCAACTGTGCTATCACCAAAAAGTATGTTCAAGTTCATCCTATGTTATTATTATTATTTATTTTATCCTCTATAATCTTTTTCTTTGACAGTTTTTTTTTTCTTCTGATAAGTCCTTTTTTTTTTTTTTTAACAGTTACAGCTGATATCCCACAAATTAGGCAATATAGCTGCCTTGAGGTTTAAATAGCCCCCAGAGGCAACGGTAGAGATGTAAAAAGCAAGCGCTCATGATCAGTAATGTATGGTTAAATAAAAGTTACTCCTATTATTTACTGGGGTGAAGTATAAGAACAGAATTTTGGGTATATTCCAACCATGTGAACTTATTTGATTTTGAATTGTTAACTTTCTGACGTAGAAGTTCGTTAGAATATCGTCATTTATTAATATGGAATACTTTCTTATATTTCCTCATACACGGTCCTTTTATGTTCATTGTTATAATAATAATAGTAAATAAATAAATAATAAATAAAAAAGTCAGTACATTGAAACAAAGAAATACTGTAACAAGCCTATTGGAATTTAAGGGAGGCAAAGTTCGGTTCCAACGTAGAAATGGAAGAGAATAATTTTTTCTTGTTTGATCGGAAGAAAGAGAAGAGATGAAAGAAGCTAGGAGGGATGATACACTTTATCCATGTTTTTGGAAAGTTTTTATTCTGTACAAAATCTGACAGAAGAGAGAAGGGAAAGAAAAAAAAGTTATATTATCAATTTTAGCATTTAATTACTTACAAAATCACTTCTAAAATTTAGAATTTCACAAGTATAATAAAAGTATATTGATAAAAAATATGTAAAAATTCTCATTCTTTTCCATTCGACCAAAAGGAAAAATAGTGTCACCACATTCATCATTCTGCCATTTGCTGAATTAAGAACCAAGGATTGGATACATCCATCACCTGGACCTTATATATATTTTTTTATCCTCCAACCAAACAGAGCGAGATATTTTCTTTAAAAAATACAAAAGGTAGAGTATATTTGTTTATTTATTATTTTCTTAAAAAATACAAAAGGCAGAGTATATTTGTTAAATGGTAGAATATCTTCCTAAATTCAGTTATTAGTCCACACCCAATTTGAACCTGAACTTCATTCAAATATATCCTCTTAAAAACCTCTATGTATTACATGTATTAGAAATGTCATCTTTAACTTTCCCAACTCGATCTTTTACCTTTTGAAGAGACATTAACCCCATCTTACCTAATGTGAATGAAATTATAACAGGAAGGAAATTGTCTTCGTAGCAATGCCTTCAATGAAATAATACTAAGCTGTCAATTAAGATTTGAGCAACGCTACTCTAACTTAAAAGTTAGACTTAAAACATTAGCAAAATGAATTTTGTCTTTTTTTAAATAAATAAAAAGAAGAAAAAGGGCCGAAAGGAATGGCCCTTGATGCTGCAAATCGACTCTCATTTGATTTTTTTTCTTTTCTTTTTCTTAGAGCACATATATCGACCACACAACACTCATTATTCAAATTAGGAGTACTGTCTCAAATTTTTAACAGTTAAACATACCAAAATGGAAACAAATTTAACTTTAAAAAATGCCCATACCTCAAAATTTTAACAGTTAAACCTACCATAATGTAAACAAATTTAACTTTAAAAAATGCCCATACCTCAAAATTTTAACAGTTAAACCTACCGTAATGTAAACAAATTTAACTTGGAGGATATTGTCACTATAAAAGACATCTATTAGACTTTATTTATATCTTTACAAAAGAAACTAACCATTCAACATAGCCAATAAAAGAGATGTTACCATCCAAGTCATCAAAGAGATTCAACAATATACAAAAAGGAAGCGAGTGGGTCACCTCTTGAAGATGGTCAGAGTATCTACAGGGGATTAAATTAATCAAAACCCTAATATAAAAAGGTCTAAACATCCCACAAAGTAAAAAGTAAAAACAAAACATCGATAACAGATCCATTTAATAAAGTAATACTAAATTAAGACCAAAAACACATGAAAATACAATTACAATTTCATTTTCATTTTCTATCTTCCAGTGTACGACCCATCTTAGACACACACACACACACATATATATATATTGGCCTAAGAGAAGATGCTCTCGCATATCCCCAGATGTGGAAAAGTACACTGAGCATTAAAAACTCTTTCAGAAACTATTTCCACTTCAGTAACCTAAAATCTAAAACAAGAAGAAAAGCAGTAGTAATTATATATATATATATATATATATATATATATATATAAACAAAATTAAAGAGAAGAGATTATAATCAATTCAATCAATTAATCAATCACAAACATTTGGACCTTGTGTGTGTCCAAGAATTGGGCTCTGGATTGAGCCTCTCCCCTGTTCTGGCTGGTTCTGATTTACACCTTGTGAGCATCATAGGCCCAATTGAAGTTGAACTTCTTTGAACATCAATACTTTCTTTGGTTTCTTCCTCTGTTGAACCTTCAAATTCTTCGAGAATTCCCAAATTTCCATCATTTTCTCGATCTGTTCTCGATTCTGCTGTCGAATCTCTGCAATCGGGTTCATCTTCCGATGTGGGTCTCTCTTGCTCCCTGTCTTCTTGCTGTTCCGGTGCCTTCTTTTCTTCATCACCCACTGTTTCTGACGTCAACAATGGTGAGCCCCAAAATTGACTCGCAAGCGATGAAGATCTGTATGGAGCAGATCTACATCTAGTCAATAACAAAGCGTTCTTGGGCGGTGTATGAGTAACGAAAATATCTGGTGCTTCTCCGTCTCCGTCTCCGTCTCCGTCTTCGTCTTCGTCTTCTTCGTATCTTGTATCAGTAGCTGTGTTACCTCTGTATCTACTTTCTTGGTTTGATTTAACTGTAGAGAAATCTTCTTTAGTTTTGGTTTTTCTACAATACCCAAATCGGAAAATGAAGACCCATTTGCTCCAATCGGGACGAAAAGATCTGGGTTTGATTTTTCGGACGAAATAATGGCAAAACGAGGTCTTTCGAACGCACCAACAACGGCGGCGTTTGGCCGGAGGAGTTCTGGTCCGGCCGGACTTTGAACCGGATTTTTGTTTGGAGGAGCGTCTGACACGGACTTGGCCTATGCAAGTGACTTTTGGGGAAGATGGTTCTTGGGTTTCAATCACTGCGTTGTTGTTCTTCTTTCGCACGAACATTGGGCTCGTACGCGACCTTCCTCTGCTTCTGCTTCCCACATTGCTCCTCAGAAACCTCATCAATGGCGGTGGAAACTTCTCTGCCCTTCTCGGACTCGAAATGGGTTTTGCAGAAACCTTCATCTCTCTCTCTCCACTTCCCCCTTCTCTCTCTCTCTGTATATATATATTTGCTATATCTCTCTCCAATTTTCTCTCGTCTATGTTTGTGTCTTTTGGTTTCGTGTTGCACTTGGTGTGAGAGCAGTGAGGCTGAGGAGAGATTGCTTTCTCACTTATGTGTTTTTGTTTTTTGTGTTTTTGGTTTTGCTGTTATTTTATCTTTGCACGGATGGTGAATCAGACTGTTTTATATTTTTATTAATTTCCAAGCTGTCGGGTTCTTGTTGGCCTTACATATTTTATAGACTTTCTTGTATGCTATCCCACTTTCCTATGTGTGTGTATAATATATATATATATATATATATACACAACACTCATTACAGGTACCTGTCAAAAAAATAAATCAATAAAAATTCCTATTTTGGTGTCAACTACCATGTGAAAGCATCAACAGCTCTTTTTACACGTGTGAATTTCACAATTGGAATGCAGAGAGAGCCTCCAGTCCTACACATGGGAGTTATAAGTTATGCTAGTAACACACACCACACATGTACATGTGCATGTATATATCATTTTTAGTTTGGATGAGATGCAATAAAACAAAGAGGTATAGTATATTTAGTGGTCCTCACTACACATGCGCGTAAGCGATGGCGGTCATCAGATGCAATAGATCGTGCATATATGTAAGTGATGAAGATCGTCAGAAATAATATATCGTCAAAAATTTTCATCTTCAATTCCACTTTAAAAATATGAAATATAAGTACATCGTAAATGATTTGATGAATATTATAATATGACAAAGAGTTCGAATCATTCACACATGTTACCCATATCGGATCACTCACATCTGTAGTGGATCCAGTCAACTATTGTTTTTCTTTTTTGAGACAATTATTTTGGTCCTAGTTATATTGCATTTTTGTTGTATAGACAGGGACTAGAAGTGGAGGGATGGAGTTGTAACTTGTACAGGGGAAGGGTTAATTTGTCCAGTCAACTAAAAATGACGAGAAACGTGAGAAGTTTTATGTTTTTCAAGTGAAACATCAGACCAAACCAAACTGATCCTTTTGATGTATAATTACTCCATCAATTTATGATACCATTCAAGTGCTCCACTTTCTCTGATGGAGGTAGACCAGTGTAACTATTACTACTACCTTCCAAGCAAACCGATTGAGTGATATAGTAGTACTATTAAAATGACATTTGATGATCCCCTGTATGGCTCAGTCTGTACTATATATATATATATATATATATATAGGCCTATAACTAGCCCTTTTCCAGGCCTATGACTACCCTTAACTTAGCTCTGGGTGTCTTGTTGAGTAAGACACTTAATATGTCTTATGATGTAATATTGGAGAAAAACCACCCTTCGTGCAATTAACCAATTCATATCATGCATAAATAAAAATAATATTTTATATTTTCAACGAACCAAAAAAATAATAATAATAATAATATTTTATTTTAATAAATCATATCACTACATATAAGTTAGTTGAGGGAGTGTTTTTTGACAAAACAAAAATAATAATAATAGTAAAGGGTGGTTTAATGCAAAACAATTAAAGTTAAGAAGGGTTAAATGCAATTTACCAACAATAAAATATCGGTATAACCTTGACCCTTCTTATATAATAAATTATTACACAGTCCAAAATCATTGTTTTTGAGCCCCAATCATCATCAATTGACACTTCAATTTGTTTTTTTTTTCTTTTTTAAATTCAACAGGGAAACAAATAATTTCCCCTCTGGTACACTTTAGAATCTAGTATTATTCAGAATATTTTAGATCGATATTGCAATACTATATCAAGTATGCGATATTAATATAACAAGATGTAACATTCATGCAACATATTTATGTCAAGTTACACTATAACACTATTAAATTGATAATGTAATTACTCTACATAAATATTGCATTCTCATTTAATATTATTGCATAAGTGTTGCATTGATGATTTAAATGAAGTAAAAATTGTTAGACCCAAATCTGTTTTTATTTGGTACCATGAGATTTAAAGTTAAATTCAAATCCAAAACTGTATTTGAAAATTATATCGATCTTCAAATTGAAACTCATTTTTCTTGAGTTTCTTTCCTTACAATTCACATTCGTGTTTTATACTTCAAAATTCAACTATATATCAACAACACCTTCATTGCAAAATGTCCATGAAAATAAAACTTGCTTCAAGAATTAAACACAAAATATAACATCGCCAAATAGATTTAGTTTCTTTCTTGGTTCAGTTGGTTGTCTTGAAATACTAGTAAGAAAGTATTCTTATTTTTAAGGTGATAATGGTCCCCAATATTGGCCCACAAAGGAATCCAATCCAGTGACCCACTTCATAATTTGTGGGCCCCAATCCTTGTTATGGACATTATTAGCTGGCCATCTCAAATTAAGGAAATTAAAACCCTTAATTCACGTTCTTTAATGGTTAAATAAGTGTCCAAACAATTGATTTGAGATCCCAATTCCTCCTTTGGCTTTTCAAACGTCAATGTAGATACAAAACAATGCCTTCTTCTCACAACAATTTTACTACCTCCAAACACTGATAAAGTCCTAATAATCAAATGTATTTAGCAAATATAAAGACCCCTTGTTTCTTACCAGCCCACGGGTTAGCCCAAACCCAAACTCACCACCCACTCCCATCTCACAATCTTGGGATCTTATTGAATACATCGGATATAGCGGTTATTGAATACTCTCGAATCCTAATTAAAACATTCCATTTGAATATTCCGACTAATCAAAACATTCCATTTGAATATTCCGACCAATCAAAACACTACAACCGTCACCCTGAAGTATTGTGTGGGATCATTCCAGAGGCATTTCCAAATGCGATAGATAGGTCATACAACATGGCAGTGAATAGTGCTTTGTTATGCATCAATAAAGATGATGTCCATTTGAAAATACAACACATGCAACATTATGACTTTGATAATATAAAAGTCACTTGCGGCGGTTTGGTATGCGATGTGTATTTGGCGGTATATTTTTTTGTCGATACCAAAACAATAGTTTAGTTGTAGGATACAAATCAGAGTTATGTTTAGAAACGAAGATTTATTTTAAGAAAGTTAGAAAATTATTTTAATTCCCAGTATCAAAACACCATATCACTAATTTGATAATATGAATTTGGGTCACCAATATCATCAGTCCCATTTCCTAAACATGATGGACTCAAATTTAAAGAATAAGATCAAAAAAAATAATATTATAATACATTCCAAACACGTCCTTAAAACATACACAAATGTCACCACATCAATGCCACACTAATTACTTAAAAAATAAACGAATGTTGCATTTTAAAAATGGTAACATTGCATTCTCGAATTAAATGAGTATCATATTTTTGAAACAATAGGTGTTGCAAATGTTACATTCTTTAAAATAAATAATAAATAAATTGTACAGTTATTTTCCTTCTCATACATTTATCAAACTTGTACATTTTATTTTCTCTTTTACTTGTCTCATTTTTCTGTAAAAAACTTTTTCTGACAACCTCTCCATTTCGCAGGATAAAGAGAAAAAAAAGAACTCCAACAACCAACCAAGGCTCCACCTAACCCTTTAGCTGTCTCCCTGGCTCCTTGCACAAGCCACCACCAAGCACTACAACAGATATATACTAATATATACCTCATTTCCCAAAATTACCCCTATTGATTTGAATTCAAGTTTTCGTAATACCAAGTGCAGTCAAGTAATTTCATCGTGTAAGTGGACTACCTATGTATTATTCCTCTCCCAACCAGAAACAAAAAGTCAACTAAGGTTTCAGAGTTTCCTTTCTGGCACTCAAAAAAGAGCTTGACTGAGGAGGCAGACAAAAGCACGCTAAAGTCAATAAAGAATCCACTCAGTGAAGAAAAAAGCCACTCAAAAAACAAATATACAAAGATATATCATTTGTAATATATAAAATTGATACATTAAAAAAGCTACGTACAATTTATTCCATGTTACGAAGTTATGTTACGGCCCACACATATTGGGCTATTTGCATGATCAGAATCCTAAGCTATTCTATGATTGTCTTTTTACTAAGCTTTCAAAAAGTTTCATTTTATGTTCAAGTGTACGGTTGATCAGAGTCCATTGTTTTGTCTTTCCATCCCAACCATGGATTTCTCTGACTAATTAGGTCCCATGTTACTGTCACCTCTTCCGCCTGAGATTTACTGTCTTCTCCGAAAAAGAGAGGAGAAAATGTTAGGAGGACACCTGCAATTAAGAAAGAAAGACAGCATATGAGCACACTTCCCCTCATGCAAAGAGGATGAATTAGTCAAAAAGTTAGCATCATCTCAGATTTTAAAACTTGCGGCAAAATAAAGGGACACATTGTGGGGCAGTTTGTTAGCCTGAAAAATAATGTACAATTTAATACTTTGTGTATTTCAGGAGGATATATTTTTTTGGGAATTGTGATTCTCACAAATTAAAGAATTACGATTTCCCAAAAGAAACATTTTTTTTTATACAAAGGAATACAACTTCATAGATATAACTTGTTTTCTTTTTCTTTTTCTTTTTCTTTTTTCTTTTTTTTCTTTTATGATAAGGGAACCTTGTAATTACCCGTCCTTTGGACTTGTAGTTACCAGGTAAATTTCTGACTACCCACCCAATCTCACAATATGAGTAACAAGTAAATCAGGAACTTGTAGCATTTGAGAAGAATCGAACTCACCCCCAAGTGCTTAGATATTGTTGTCTAACACTTAGAGGCTCCCCTTCCCACCATCTCTGGGGGTTGAAAGAGACGGTTGTTGCGCTCCTTCCATACACAGTATGTGCTTTGCTGCAAGACAGTTTACAAAGCCAATCAGTACATTTAATGGAATTGTCCTTCCAGTGATGAGATGACCAAGCAATCAGATCATTCTAACCTCGTCTCCAAAACTTGAAACATGCATGGAAGTTCAATTCTTTGACATTATTTACAGAATTGTCCATTGCTGTGTTAAAACCGATCATTGCAGCTTTCCTATAACTTTATCGCCATCGCGTACATCATTCTAAAGCCAAGTCCCCGACCAAAAACCAACTTGTCTGAAATGTATAACATGATTTACATGTGAAAAATGCATAGGATTGCAAAATGTTGTACAAATCATGAACAAATTCAAGGACAAAGAAAGAGATTCATATAGGAAAGAGAAGCATATATAGACAAGTAATTTTACCATGAGACTAAATTAGGTTGAAAGTAGATTATTTTAAAAAGTTTCATTTTATGTACAAG